CATACCATGCTGACTATTGTGACCTGCATTTCAATCTCAAGAACAGAGGCGAAACAGAGCAATAGCTTGGGACAAGTCATGCCTGCTAGGCATTGCCTAGAACCAACATGGTTGTCTGACAGGCTCGCTGTGCACAAGGAGCAAATGCTACATGTGTTAACCAGCTCCTGAACATAGTTGTTGTCTCAGGGAATCCGGGCCCAAGAGTTGCCACGTCATCAATGCTGTTCCCCAACGTATGGTGACTGTAGCCCTCTGTGCAGCCGCGCAGAGAGTTGCTTGTGAAACGAAGATTGTGTACCAATGTTCTGTTCCGCAAATTGGTGCTTGAAGATTTGCAGTTAGACAATGGTCAGGGGCACTACTGAGATGCCCACTCTCTTAGTTTCCTCCTTTGCATCGCGTAGGCGAGAGTGTGCAATACTTCGAAGTATGCAGCGTGCAACACTGCACAGAAAACAGCCTTGGTTGCAGTCAATGCCAGAACCCTATCCCCCTCTCGCACATGCAGCTTTCTAGAATTCAAGAAATCGGTAAGAATGTGCACAGCGCTCCTGCACGTTCGCTACTACGCTGGTATGTTGCCAGTGGAGAGCACATTGTGATGAATTTCGTCAATCAAAATTTCAGCGAAGCATCAAAACACCTGGGAATACAATCGCTGACTGAGTATCACAGGACTTGTGACTGCTAGGAGCAGTATCTTTCTGGCACGACTCGAGCCCGAAATGGGGGCGTCTACACCCTGGCGACAGATCCCGCAGGCCATCGCGCAGGGAGCCAGCCTCCCACCCCCCCTCCTGACAATTTCAGCCGGACATTTATCTCCCACCAGGCTCCCGCGCGGCAGGGCGGCCGCGGGAGCGGCCGCCACCACCCGCCAAATCAAACAACGCCGCGCCCACCTCCATTTCGTCCAGAGCGTTCGCAATCTCCCGCCCATCACCCCCGACTCTGTACACAAACCGCCAAAGCAAAGCGAAAGCATTCCCTCTCCACTCCCCGCCCTGTCCCTTTTCACTGGAACGCTCTGCTCTTCGAGCTGCGCACCCTTGCGTTTGTCGTTGTTTGTATCGGGGCTTCCTCCCCTAGCGCCTGAAACATTGGTGCCAAGAGGAGAGAATCCGCCTCGTCACTTTGCAGTGCCATCATTCCCCGGCCCTGCCCCCCCTCACCGCACCCACAGCCCCTTCTCCAGCATCCGCGCCTTCTCTGCCTTCCTCGACTCCCTCTTCCCAATCCCCTCCCCTATTTCCTGCGCCCGCCTTTCGGTCAGCAGCTGCGCCACCTTCCGCCTGTACCACCTGAACTCGTGGCTCTTGAACGGCTGCCCGGTGTACTTCTTCACCCTCAGGTCGTACAGCGCCCGCTGGCACTTTTCGACTTCAGCATCAATCTCTTCGGCGCTCATGCCCCTGAACTCGCTGATCTTGGTCGGCTTGGCCATCGCCGCCATGCCCCGGCGGATGGCGCCCATCTGCCCGGCGCGCGGCGCGGCCGCGAGGCGGGAGACGGCGAGCCGCATGCCCAGCGGCTTCGCCGCTGGGCCCAAGACGGTGCCTGGAAGCATGGCCACCGGCTGCGGACAGGGATCGACGACCTTGTCGCGGCAAACAAAACGGCGCCCCACACGTGCTTGTGTTGATAGTGGCGGGAGGACGGAGCGGACAGAGGATCGCTTTTTCCAAGTTGAACAAAATTTAATAAAATTTATCCGGATTGAAAGAATTTAGCATTTAAGTTTATCAATAATGATAGAAATTAGCACTTGTATTGGTCCCAAATACTGGTCTTAAGTTAGGAAGCCGACTCAGCTAACTCCTTGCCTTGTTCTGTGGAAACGAACCACGGTTTGCCCTTGGTGAACGAAATTGGCATTTATGGGCAGTTTTCTCAGCGTGTTTTTTTTTCAATTGGATGACTCGTTTTGCGGTGCCTGGTCCCCAAGGACCTCAGCCGCCAAGGGTGCCCAGCCGCCGCGCGCCGCCCAGAGCGTCCTCCCCCCCTGCGTTCACTCGTTCGGCCCGCCCACCGCCGGAACTTCGAGAGCGGAGTCCGGTGCCCCCGGGCCGAATCATGGCGACCACCCTGCAGGGCGCGGAGGCGTCCAAGAAGGAAAAGAGGGTGAAGAAGGAGAAGAAGGAGGAGAAGAGGACCAAGTTGGCCAAGAAGGAAAAGAAGGACAAGCAGAAGAAAGAGAAGGAAAAGAAGGTCAAGACGCGCAAGCGCCAGCGGACGGAGGAGGAAGCCAGTGGCGGCGCCGCGAAGAAGGCGCGGGGATCGCCGTCTTCGGAATCCACGGACGTGTCGATCGACGTCGGGGATAATGGGATCGCCGTGGACCCCAACTCCATTGACAGGTTCCGCCTGTCCGATTCGGTGAAGGGCCTGCTGAGGGGCAAGGGGATCGAGTCGCTGTTCGCCATCCAGGCGCAGACGCTGGACTTCCTGCTGGACGGCTCCGACGTGGTGGGCAGGGCGAGGACGGGCAGCGGCAAGACGCTGGCGTTCGTGCTGCCGATCGTGGAGAAGCTGATGGCGGAGGGGGGCGGCGCAGCGGGGAGGCAGCGCAGGGCGCCGGCGGCCATCGTTCTGGCACCCACGAGGGAGCTCGCCAAGCAGGTGGGCGCGGGAGCTCACGCATGTGCTGCGATGGCCAGTGCGGTGGTGGGCATATTCGCCCTCTTGAGTGTGTGCCGCTGTGTCCAGAGAGTCCAGAGAGTCCAGAGAGTCCAGAGGTTTGTTGTTGTGAGAAGTGGTGCTGTTTTGCGTTCTCCCCAGGTTGCAGCCGAGTTCGACTACATAGGCAAGGCAGGCTCGCTCAGGTCGTTCTGCATCTACGGCGGAACGCCCTATCGGCCGCAGGAAGAGGCACTGAGGAGGGGTGTGGATGTGCTTGTTGGAACTCCAGGAAGGGTGAAGGACCACCTCCAGAGGGGTACTCTGGACCTGTCAAAGCTGAAGTGAGCAATTCAGCAACACTGGAAGGATATGGAAAAACTGGACAAGGCAGCGGTGTTTGCTGGCTTGGGCGCTCAAGGATTTGTGTGTGTGCGTGTATTTGCTAAGGCTGACGAACGAATGCATTGGGCATGAAAGAGCTTTCTGTTTGTGGAAGGGGAGGTGACTTGTGCGTGTTTCAGAGCTCTGGAAAGGGTCAATCCTGCTGATTTCGCAGTGAAGTCAATGACTAGAAGCACTGTGGAACAGTTTGGCTCGCCAACTGCCCAATACCACAACTGACAGGTTTGCTCGCTCCTAATCTAATCTGAACATATCAATAAGGCCAAAGCTCGTGTGCTCTGTACTTGGAGAGTATAGTCAATGGGAACTTGAGAAAGTGCTTATCATGTTGTCAGGTTTCAGATTCTGGATGAGTGTGACGAGATGCTCAACATGGGCTTTGTGGATGACGTTGAGCTCATCCTCAATGGGGTGGGCGACCGCTCAGGCGTCCAGACACTCCTCTTCTCAGCCACCTTACCCACTTGGGTCAAGACTGTCACGACCCGCTTCCTGAAAAAGGACCACAAGGTTGTGGACTTGGTGGGGACACAGAAACTCAAGGTGAGGAGGGGTAAGGGGGCAACTATCAGTCAAGATGTTGCAAGCCAAATGCCACAGAGATTTCAGGCATTGTGAGCAATGATGCCAATTCTGGGATGGGTTTCGTTGAATTGAATGGAACCTGCAGTCCATACAACACATTCCACATGCACAGTCACAAACATCCAATCCCGTTTTGCACATTGTCTCGCTGTAACTTTGGAATGTATCAAGGAGCACAGTACGATGCAGTGGCATGCAAGGGCATGCAGGGCACTTGGCAATGCACACTCTTGCAAGGTGGTGTGGCTTCACCTTGTTGGCATAGGTTACAGCGTTTTGATAAACATGACCAAATGGAAAAAGGATATGCAAAGCAAAGTGCATTGTGCATTGTCCTACAGGCCTCATCTACAGTGAAGCACCTCGCTTTGTACTGCCACTGGAGCCAGAAAGTTGGCGTTGTCAGCGACCTTGTGAAGTGCTATGGGTCAGGCGGTCGCTCGATTGTGTTCACAGAGACAAAGAGTGAATGCGATGAACTGGCTGGAGAGCTGAGCAAGAGTGTAGGGGCAAGGGCTATCCATGGAGACATAGCTCAGCAGCAAAGGGAGGTAAGATTTGAGACTGATGGCACTGTACCTGTGAGTGAGATTAGGAAGCATTGTGAAAGCTGCCGTGCTGCTGTTGTTCTGCTTGACAGTTTGTAGTTAGCACAGTTTTTGTAGCTGTACAGTTTCCCGTTGCACTACTTCCGAACACACATATCAGGCACTGCCAATGCAGTGTGTCCCACCCTCCACTGATGCACTTGTGTGCCGCCCGTCTGCGCAGTTCACTCTTGCCGGCTTTCGGAATGGAAAGTTTGGCGTCCTTGTTGCCACAGACGTGGCTGCCCGTGGACTTGACATAGACAAGGTGGAGCTTGTCATCCAAGCCACCCTGCCAAAAGACCCAGAGAGCTACATCCATCGATCGGGCCGCACAGGCAGGGCTGGCCGGACTGGGATCTCCATATCGCTCGTCGATAGGAAGCGTGAGGGTCTTGTGGGTTTGATCGAGTCAAAGGCCGGCGTCAAGTTTGAGCGCATTGGGGCACCACAGGCACAAGACATGGCCAAGATGTCAGGGGACAAGCTTGTGGCAAAAATGACAGGGATCGATGCAAAGTCAGTGGAGATGTTCAAGTAGGTGAACTCATAGGGGAGCAGAGGTGGTTGTCCTCCCACTGAAATGGATTTTGATTGTGTGAGTATGCAGAAATGTTTGCATGTTGTTCAACTTATTGCCATGCAGTAAGAGATCGCGTTCTTTGCCAATCTGATGACATGTCCAGCTGCCAATACTGTTTTGGGCACAATGAACATGGTCTTTGATTGCCCGTTCCCTTCTTTCCTTTCAGAGTGCTGGTGACAAGGTGGGTCAAATCTATAGTGGAATTATCTGTGACGCATTTTATTCTGGATCATGTGATTCGCACAATTTCCAGTGACGTCCTCTGCTTTTGCCAGCCGAGCTATTCACATGTCCATCGCTGTGGGGACAAGTCTGTACATAAATGGCGCCGATCTCAATCGGTCAGGTGCCACACTCAGCAAAGCTCACTGATTCGATCTCATGCCCAATCATGCTTGAGTCTCATCACCGACAGCGCGTGCACAGGTCTGCAGCAGAGGCCGCCACAAAGGTCTTCGACTCCCCGATTCATGCCCTTGCCGCAGCCCTGGCTTGCATGGCCGGCCACTCCTCTGAGTTCCAGGGCCGCTCGCTGCTGACCGCCCACAAGGACCTCAGCACACTGATGCTTACCCACACCGGCGAGATCCGCTCTCCTGGATTCATCTTCTCCGTTCTGCACCGCATCGTCCAGAACGAAGAAGCCGTCAATGCCATTCAGGGCATGACATTGACTGCTGATGGGCATTCTGCAGTCTTTGACGTCCAGCGGAAGGATCTGGACCTGTTCAAGAAGGCGATGGCGAGGGAGCTGGCCAACAACGGGGGCAGGGGTGGGATGGCCCTCACGGTGCCCACCTCCCTGCCAGAGCTCAAGGTGAAGGACTGCCCACCGCCGCCAACGTCACGCTGGGGCAATGGAGGGGGCGGAAGAAGATTTGGGTCTGGCAGCTTCCCCAAAGGGAGCCTCGGAGGGGGGAGGGGGAACTTTGCTGGGCGAGGAGGCAGTCGCAAGTGGTAGTGCTAGTAGACTCCTGCTATGTTTGAAGTGGAAGGTGTGCATCGAAAGTCAGCGTTTGAAGGTGTTGGCTGCATGGACGAGGCGTGGTTTTCGATGGTGGAAATGCACTGGGTGGTGAAGCGATGCTGGGCGTACAGTGCAGTTCGTGTTCATTGACATGGGCCCTGTAGAATCCACCATCTAGTCTGCAAGGAAAAAGGGACTGACACAGGGCGGGTGACGTCGTTGGGTGAGATTGCATAGGGTTGATTCTGATTCTTCTATTGGGTTCGAACCAGGTAGCCAGGTTGCTTGCGCTGGTGCGAAATTGCTTTCTGAATGGATTGTGTGCTTGACGGGGGGATTTTTTAGCCTGTGCTGAGGGCTGTCTGCCCAAAGGCGTTCATGATGTCGTGGGTGGATGCGGCCGTGCCCGTGGGGAGCCTGGTGGTATGATGAGACGACTTGACTAACGTTGTTCTCAGCGTCGGGCGTTCGGGGTTCCCGTCTTTGTGAATTCAACTGGGGAGGGAATTTTTCTGCTAGAAGGCTCTGCATTGCATTCTGCAAGAACGGGTTAAAACGTGGATATTATCTGACGTTCAGCTGCTCTTCCTGCATGGCCTCCCTTGGGGACTTTTGCACGTCCCTTGCTGCCATCTGCTGCATGCACCGCATGCTGAAGAGAAGAGCGTGCCTGGCGCAGGTGCCAGCCTAAAATTGCTTCAGATTTCCGCTATATCTGCGAGATACTCGGCGAATAGCTACCCATTCGTCTCAAGACGCCGCTGCTAGCAAGTGGGCAGGCGCAGTGCTGCGGCAACGAAGACCTGTGGTGTGCATCCAGGGAATGGATAGTGGCGATGTCCCAGTGAGTGCCGCGGGTGATGACCCTGTGCATTGACTTGCCACAAATTGTCGCCCAGTACTTTCAAGCATGTTTGTTGAACGAAGCTGTATCAGGCAACGTTGCAGTTTGCTGCAGTGACTGCACTACATGGATTTCTATATCACCACTCTCTAATTGAGGCTAAGCTCACAGATTCCTCCTGCCTCAATATTGGTGGCGATGGTGGCCATCGATTCAATCATCCCATTTTCCATTCCTCCATAATCGCTGCAACGCAGGCTGTTTGCCGCTGCTGAAGATGCTTTGCCCTCCATACCACGTCTCCACGCTCTCTCTCCTGAACTGAAGTAGTTGCATCGTGTTATAGGGTAATGTTGCTGAGTCATCCTGGCATCGACATAAGGATTTATGCTAGCGGGGCATGAAGGTGAGGAGGTCTACACTCAGCACCAATGCGACCTAAACCGTAACAAACTCGACATGGTTCGATCCCTTCATGGTGCGACTTATCAGACTCTCCCCATCCCCCGGTAATTTGACATGAAAGAAGCCCGAAAACGACAGTGTCGATTCCGCATAGTGCGGTCCCTAACACTACAAACAGTGTGGTCGCGTGGGTGGCAGATGGCGCCCCTCCCATTGTTACTTACCAATGTGCAGAACGGGAGGGACACTGTGGAAGCAATGATGCGTACCAAAGGCCAAGATCGACGCACATGGTATCCATTGTTCAACATTCATAAAATGGGCCGATATGAAGTTGCAATCCACGGCATTATGCACATCTTGGTGCCAGTGACCATGCAATGAATGTGCGAATCCGGTAAGCGGCCTCCCGAAGAAAAATGCCCAGAACAGGCCACGGACGACTTTCTCAATCAGACCATTAACCAAGAAACATAATCATTAGTTTCTGCAAGCGACTGGAATCCCTCGAATTACGTCATGCCAGAACACAGTGGGCTTAGCAGCCGTACAACCTGGTCGCCTACAAGGTGCACGGGCACTGCTTTTTCCTTCGAAGGCAACCTTTAAAAATCGGCCACTATTTCTTCTGCGACAGTGAGATTGCTCTTTCGTAAACAAAGGAGTTTTTTAAACAAAGGAATTAGCCACACAGTTTTGAACAAAGGAATTTATGCTTTAGTCATACAACTGGCTGGACGCCGCTTCAGGGCCAGATGGAGTGACTGGCGAATATGTCGTCCCCGGGGCCCGCCGCCGGGTCCGCTTCCCGGGATTCTCCCGGCAACGGCGGCCGGCACGGGCCCAAGGGCACGCTGTTGACTCGTTTTGGACTGAGTCCACACCCCACGCCCGCACTTCCCCTTCAGGCCCCCCTCCGTGAGGCCCCCGGGAGGGCCAGGAGGTGCCCCCAGGCCTCAGCGCGCCATGGGCTGCTCCCAGTCGAAGGAGGAACAGGTGCGGCCTTTCGGGCGGCGCCCCTCCCGGGCGACCGAGATCAGTCGAAAGAAAAAAGTTCGCCAGAGTGCCCAACAGGCAGCGAAGACCCCGCCAGTGCCAACGGAGCCGATCGATTTCTCATTGAGAGGCGCTTGCCGGGCTGGCGGGTGGCGGTGCGCGGTTTAGGTGTTGGGTTTTTGGTCAAGGGAGTTGAAAAAGGGGAGGGATGGGCGTCGCGGCGGCGGCTGGTGTGGCGCGCGACGGCGTGGTCGTCAGACGTCTTTCGCCTGCTCGGGGGAAGGGGCCCTTTCGGGGAAAAGCCTGAAGCCCACCAGCGTCAAGCCGCAACGCAACAAAACAGAGCAACCCGCTGGTTTGTCGAGCCTTGTTGAGGCGATCCATGAGCATGCCGCGAAGTTGAAGGGAACTGGGGGGGGAAGGAATTTGTTGGGAGGAGGAGGTGTGGTGGAAATGTGGAGGGCTGGAGGCGGCTGTTGGGAGGGGGAGGGAGGTGGTTGTGAGAGTTGGTGTGCGTGATCGCAGGTGGAGGGGGGTGGGACCGCGCCGGGCACAGAGAGCGGCAAGGGGGCGGGCGTCGACGCTGGTGGGAGAGGCGATGGCGGGTGGGTGGCGGCGCGCAATGGCATTGGTTTGTATTTGCCTCCACGGGACGAGTTTGTCCAATGGGCTTTGAAGCCCGCACCGTTGCGCCATGCGGGCGTCTGAGTGGTGCCGCGTCTATGGGGGAGGATAGTGGCTTCATACCTGGCGCAGTCAATCATCATGTTCTGGTGTGTACCTTCGGGTTTGTCTTCTTGGCGTGCCTTCGTGATGTCCTTGCCGAGGAAGTTCTCGAATCTGCGCATTGGAAGGTCTGGGAGTGAGGGCGGTGCGGAGGCACCGCCCAAGGTGCGAACGGACGGCGGACCTCCACTGTTGGAGTGCTGACCTGCTTGCCAGATAACAGGGAAAGCCTTTTTGCGCCCCTGCGACCTTGGTGTTTTCGCCCTTCCCCGCAATGCCCCCGTTCCAGCGGCAGCGGAAGAATACACAGACGGGCCAATTGGATGGAGATACAGTTCTGTAGGGCACAGTCCCCCAGAGATCATGGACAAAGTCTGCAGGTCGAAGCGGCGTGTGTGTGTGCGGTTTGGCGAGGGGTGGGGTGGGGCAGAGGGTGAGCGCAGGCTGCACCTCCCATTCCATCGCAGACCAGACGCGTTGCGCACCGTGTCATCCGATGGATCCCACTCGTTCGTGGCGCAACTGTTTCTCTGCCCTTCCCTGGGCAGGCCGTCGTCGGTCGCCCGCTCCGGCGCCGCGTGCTTGCTGCGCAGAGACAGATCAATGCCTTGCGCTGGGCACTGACCGTTGTGACGTAGCCTCCTGGGATGGGCTGCCCGTATGTGGGCTGCTAGTATATGCCCGGTGGGAGAGGGGGGGAATTAGCGGGGTAAGATTTGTTGCAGAGAGAAACGTGTCGTACAAAGCGCCCCCCTCCTAAGCGGGTGGATGTTACGGGTTGAAAACTGGATGAGGGCGGGGTTGTTGACACATGAAGGAAACAGACCCTGTTTGGCAAATTCAGGTGCCTCAGGGGCGGTTTTCCGTTGCAGGACGGCTACTGCCTGTCCTAGCGAGGCGCAGAGTCAGATCTTCGATCGGGATGTCGTCACTGGTGAGCTCAAGCGGGCGACGTCGGAAGACTTCAAGCGCGCGTTCAATGCAGCTTCGAGGATGTCGTTCAAGGAGAAGAAGACGGTGGAGGAGTTCACGTTGGAAGGTGGGACAGCGAACCTCCGGCAAAAACCCAAGGGCAGTCACAAGGAGTGACTCCCACGACTGTCGTAGTGTTGAGAGAGATCGAGTCATTCGCTGGTCATTTGTTGCGCAGTTTTGCACTCCTTGATATGTGCATTGACAACAGCCGTTGTCTCGTCATTGGAGGACTCTTTGCGAACACGCCACACGGGGCCGTGCGCAAGCAATTTTGTAGTGGGCTTGCATCCGTGGAGATTACCATTTCATGAGCTTCATGATAACCTGAAGGTACAGCGTATTTGGCGCTTGTTGGCCTTGCAAGTCTCCGAAGGATCGATCCAAAGTCACAAAACTACGTTGACGTTTTTCAGATCATGTGCCAAGGCATGCCGCCGACACAATGAAGGCAATTTCCCTACCTGGAACGCCGGTGATTTTGATGGCATTCACGGTGGATGTGGGGGAGCCCGTCTTGAACTTCGCTCACCGTATGCGTGCGCGCCTAGTATATTCAAGCGCGCTATGCGATGGCATGCTCCCGTGACAAAAGCTGTGGCCAATATTCCACGGGATGCCCTGTTGCTGAAGCACAATATGCATTTTGTCGCCCGTTTACAACGTCCGGTATATCAAAGTATCGTGAGAGGTCCAATTCTAAATTTATGGCCTGAAATCATGCACAAGTCCGTGATCCGTGGCACACAGCATACAGCAACGGCATTTGTGTGACCCGCAGCTGTGAAGGAGAAGCTGCGCAGGGAATGGCTGCCGGAATACAAGCCCGAGGAAATCCGTCCCCCACAGGAGTCGCCGGACACCATCTCCGAGCGGGCCACCAACGTCACCCTGTCCATGCTGTTCCAGGACGCGCCGCTGTTCAGGAAGACGAAGGTGATCTGCACCATGGGCCCCAAGTGCTGGTCGGAGGAGGGCATGGGGCGGCTCATCGACGCCGGCATGGACGTCATGAGGATGAACTTCTCGCACGGCTCGCACGAGGGGCACTACGACGTGCTGAGGCGCTTCCGAAAGGTGACACCATCAGCTACCAAGGCTTTCTATCGCATATTTCGATGTTGCAGTACTTAATATTTACGTATCACGTTATTCAATATTCCGATACTATTGGCAACATTCGATATCGTACTGTAGTATTCGATATTCGATCCATGCCATTGCCTTCTCGCAGTCTCGAATTCGATTGCTGCGAAGCAATGGCGAGCCGGAATCTGGACTGGTACGGGTGTGAGCGTGGGTAAACTCGTCCACTTGAGGCCGGTAAACCGCGCTTTTGCCCGGCAACGTTTCAGTCGCTTAGTCATGGGCGGATGCTTGATGAACATGCACTCGAAATTTTCGCTGTTTACGTCAACGCAATGCTGCCCAGCGTCGCCGACATGCTGCTCCCGAGAGGAATCTGCCCGTCTCAGGTGAAATCATCCGTTGTGCCTCCCGTCCAGGTATGCGACGAGAAGCGCAGCTACGCTGCCAGTCTCCTGGACACGAAGGGCCCAGAGATCCGCACCGCCATGCTGAAGGGTCACGAGCCCATTCTGCTGAAGGAGGGTCAGGAGGTCATCGTGGAGTCTGTGGGGGAACGCTACACCGAATTCGAGGGCTACAGCAATGAAGAGGAAACACGTATAGGGCTGTCGTACGGACAGCTGTGCCAGAGCGTTTCCCCAGGTGATTTGCAAACGGCGGCAACGCTCAGGCTGTAGATTTGCACCGTATTCAAGTGCATGTTTAGCTATTGTAATTGTTTTACTCGTCATCGTATTTAACTCTCTGTTATTTTGTTTGGATACTTGCTCTTGTTGTTCGCGAGTCAGAAGCTTTGGCACTCCAACGGTGCGGCCACGCATTCACGCACTCGGAGCTATTTTGTCTCCTTGATCACCAACAGAAAGCGCCACTTGGGGGATGCGAATCCTAACGACATTTTGGCGCCAAGCGATACCATCACCGTGAGTGAGGTGACGTCGAAGCAACTGCGATTGCATCAATTGATGCAAACTGCCCATCGTAGCTGGCGTCGCGAGAACGGCCCTTTGCCTTGGTGACGGCTGGCCTAAAAGCATGCAATGCATGCGCCTATGCATTATGAGAAGGCTTTCGCTTAACGGCCGCTGACGCTGCTCACCGGCAGCCTTCGAAAGCTGTAGGACAGAATTCTGTCCGGGTACAGAAGCAGCAGGACAGAATTCTGTCCTACTGATGGAAGGAGACTTGCAGGCAAAGCAGCGAGCCGCAGACAATTTCACATGCGTATGGGGTGGTCTGATGTCATTTTTCGAACGTTGGAAATCACAACAGGCCTCTCTGGGCGGTGAACCAAGATAACGGTAGTTCGGCGCAGGCAACAAAATATTGATGGCGGATGGAACTATCACCATGGAGGTTCTGGAGATTCTGAACGACAAGGAGCTGAAGGGCCGAGTCCTGAACACGAAGAGCCTGGGCGAGCGCAAGAACTGCAACCTTCCAGGCGTCAAGGTCGACATCCCAGTGCTCACCGCTAAGGACATCGAGGACCTGCAGCAATTTGCGTGCCAGCACCACGTGGACTTTGTAGCGGTGTCGTTTGTCCAGGTGGGTTACGAAAGGGAGTCGCCGATGCTGTGAAGTGGAGCAATTGGCCCCCCAACGTTAGATACGAACGCACCAGAAAACGGGGAAACTATTAACAAAACATCGGGCGGATAGCCTGCGTGATTTTGCGCGTTAATTGCGCATGTGTCTGCAAAGGCTTCGCTTAAACAGATTGACGCTTAAGTACCGTTGATTTGCGAATGCTGTGCCTCCCTGCTTCGAGCAAATTGCGTCACAAGTGGAATCTGACATCACTGGAGTAATTTTTTGCTCGCAGAGCGCCGGGGACGTTCAGTTCGTTCGAAAGGTGTTGGACGACGCCGGGGGCCATAGCATTAAAATCATCTCGAAGATTGAGAACGAAGCGGGTCTCGATCATTTCGACGAGATTCTGGCATGCACCGATGGGGTCATGGTTGCACGCGGTGACCTTGGCATGGAGATTCCATCAGAAAAGGTGACACTGGTCCAGGCGTCTTATGGCCACCATGGACTGGACTTCCTTGCGCTTGCCATCAGATGGAGTGGCTCAAGCATCAAAATTTGCTTGGTTGTCAACTGCGCAATTTTGCTGTCAAGAACCCCCAAGCCCAACTGGTGACGCCAGGTGTTTTTTTTATGGATTTCGATGAATTTCCGGTATGTAACAAAGCCCTTACATCTTGGTTTTGAGAACATCTCCACAGAAAGAAAGTACACTTCCTCCTGGAGACAACTGGTCTCGACATTCTTCCGGTGTTAGTGGCGAACCCCTCGCTCAAAATCACGGACAGACATGAACTGCTGCCCGCACTATTGCAGACCCTGCGCAATGTTGCAATGCTCCCCATGGCAAAGCAGCTGCATGATCCAGTGTCTAAACTGTGCCACGTTATCATCATTAACATTTTAAGGACTACCACTCGATGCCGCCCGCCAGGTCCCGGTGGCCCAGAAGATGATTATCACCAAATGCAACATCGCGGGCAAATTCGCCATCTGCGCCACCCAGATGCTGGAGTCCATGATCTCCAATCCCCTGCCCACGCGCGCGGAGATGACCGACGTCGCGAACGCCGTGTACGACGGCGCCGACGGCGTCATGCTCTCCGGGGAGACCGCCAACGGCGCTTTTCCCGACAAGGCCGTCGCGACCATGGCGGCCATCGTGGCCAATGCCGAACAGGCGGTCGATTACTACTCCCAGTACTCGTTCGTGAGGTGATGGGACGTTTCTGGTGGCGAGCGGGCAACGTGCGTCCATTCGCGGCTCTTGGCGGCTCAACAGCCGATCCGGCGAAATCCATGGCTGAGCTGCATAGCCTCTGTCGGGGCCAGCTGCTTGCCCTCGTGGATTCCGTGCGGTCCCAAAAAAGCACACATGTTGGGTAATTGTGCTCTTTTTTTAGGTTTGGTTTGGGTTCCAGAACATTTGCGCAGTGCGGTGGCTTGGTCTGTCGCACATTTCGCCGGCGTGTAGCTAAATGTTGAAGCTCTGGTGGCTTGGGCTGGCGCACTAGATAGCAGTCGTGTAACTGCATTCTCTTTCGTCTTCCGCAGGACAGCGTCCGAAGAAGCTGATTGATAGCTGGTTGAGCATAGCGCACGGACGTACCTCCGCGGCGTTCCGCCTGCCCATCTGTGTGCATTCCCGTAAACTCACAGCAAACATTATGGACCCACGATTTGAACACCGTCAACATCACTAGATCCCGGTTGATTTACCAACCAGCCGCGCATGCACCGCCGCTCAATTTGATTCCACCGTTTTACCACATCTTGTGTTGTGCATGCAGGCTCAGACTCTCAAGGGGGACATGACGACCCTGGTATTGAAGTGCATTAACTATCTGGAGGCGCAAGGCATAGACATGCGCCACTGCAAAGTCATCGTGGCTCACAACCAGGACGCGGGGAGCGCAGACTCAATGCCGTCCATCAAAGTTCTCAGAACCGACGTAGGATTGAAGAGGACGATGAGAGGCAGCGTGTCTGCGCTTTGCAACTCGTCGGGTGGGCATTGTTCGTGGGGCGCTTCTGTGCTTCATGGTTAAGTTTCTGTACATGGTCAGAATGAATCTAATTTGCGTTGAAGCACAAAACATGGATAGTTATTTCGAAACAAGTGAACCTGTCCAGAAAAGTCATCTTTTTGAGTTCGAGTGCAGGGAAAATTGCGCTGTGTCGCATTTATTGCCGCACTTAAGATCGTCGTCAAAAGAATACGAGTATTTTTATTGTTCTGGCTTACAATGCAGCTGCGCAGTGCTGGCGCTGCGGTATTGGCAGTTCCGTTGAAAATCATCGGGAGAAAATGGCATAAACTTGCAAATTTGCAACCTAAAATTGTGCACGAGATCTTGGGAATTGTCCTAAGGCGCTGTATGTGGCGCAGGTGCCCCCGTCATGAGGAGGGGCACGCGAACTTGCCGGTCTACTAAGACCAGCCTGCCCCTCATCCTGAGCCCCGTGGACAAGCCTCGATCCACAAAGATCGTCTGCACCATGGGCCCCAAGTGCTGGTCGGAGGGCACCATGGAGGAGCTGCTTGCGGCGGGCATGGACATAATGCGCCTCAACTTCTCCCACGGCACCCACAAGGATCACCTGGATGTCTTGAATCGATTTCGAATGGTGAGAGCCACTACACGTCGACGTATTGATTTTCTGCAGCGAATGCAGCTCAATAACGATGCATCTTTGCGCTATAGCTCAGATGTTCTGGTGACTACAATGTGAGCGGTCTGCTGCCTAATTGTCGTCTGAAAATGTGTTCAGATCGGTGCGGATCCATCCACGCACAAGTCCGGTTAAACGCAATTCGATTGAAGGACGGCGTGCTCACTTGGCATTCACAGACGATGATTCTGCAGTCTCGCGCCTACAATGAGCGCAAAATCTGCGATTGAGAGCACCGCAGTTTTAGGGTCCATGAATGAAGGGGCATGGCAGGCCCGCTTTTCACCGGCAGGCATTGATGTCAGAGTCAGATGGGATCGCCCACACAACAAATCTTCCATCTACGAATCTGATTCACGGCACGCAATGGTTGCCTCACTAAACATTCCTTCAACTCAATAATGTCAAAAACTGTACAGCATCCTCAACATATTTTTGCCCCTGCGGAGTGGCAATCATGTACCTCAGTACGCTGAAACAGTAATCCACAGAATTAACAATAAGAGTAGCACACACAATGGTTAATTATGTGTGTCTATCTATAGATGCAACTCTAAAGCGCAGAGTTTCAAGAATATTTTCCGCTTCAACCACAGGCGAGTCCTGTCTGCACGTAGTTGCACAGTAACCGCTTTCGTCGATGCAGGTGTGCGACAGAAAGGCGAAAGACATGGAATCTAAGGGCTCGCGTTGCGCCCCGCGTTGGGCAGCACTCCTGGACACCAAGGGACCAGAGATCCGCACCGCCATGCTGAAGCACCACCAGGCCATCGACCTGGAAGCGGGGGACACCGTCGTGGTGGAGGCCGTCGGGGACAAGTACACCTCCTTCGAAGGGTACAAAACGGACAAGGAGACGAGAATAGGGCTGTCCTATGCGGCCCTGTGCCAAAGCGTGACGGAAGGTGGGAGCCTGGCGATGCGGTCTGTTTCGCCGCGCCCACAAATGTCCTGTAAGGTTCATTTCCGGATATGGAAGGTCATGACGGTCATGGCGGTCGTATCGTTTCAAGTTCTTTAAGCTTTGGGGTTTGGAACAGTATAATCTGGTGCCTTTCGCGACCGTCGTGGCCCCTTCGTGGCGTCCATTTCCCGAACTGATGGGTATCGGATGAGCTTCGCGGCGACATATCAGATTCCAGCTTCGTGGGTATGGTAGACCTCCGGGCAGTCTCTAGATTACGCTGTCTTTGGAATCCACAAGGCATCTAATCGTGCGCAATGATACCATGATTACCTGCCGCATTCGCCTCCTGGACCGGCGCTATTGCGTGTTTCTGCCTGAATCGAACAACTGCACTGGCGAGAGACGCCGTTAGTCGCCGGAGCACCAAGCGGCAGAAACACGCGCGACGCAATCCTGCGGCAAAATGCAGACAACAAAAACCTGAAAGCGGCTTTGGGATTCAAAAGTCGAAGAGAAGGATGGAACACGTCAGCGGGGGCCTCGGTGGTGCTGCAACGACGCTTCATGCACCATCCATCGAAATGGAGGCACTGATGAGGCTGCACGCCTCTCTTGGCAGGTGACTCGATACTCCTCGCGGATGGCACCATTTCCATAAAAGTGAAGCAAGTCCTGAACGACCGCGAGGTGCTGGGCACCGTCATGAACACAAAATCCTTGGGGGAGAGGAAAAACTGCAACCTGCCCGGCATCAAAGTGCAGCTGCCCGTCCTGACGGGAAAGGATGAGGAGGACTTGAGGAATTTCGCCTGCAAGCACAGAATGGACTTTGTTGCCGCGTCCTTTGTCCAGGCGAGTAAGTCTGAGCTGAATGTCCTTCTGGAATGTAGATTCCATGGGACTGGCCTTGCAGTCATTGCAATGCGTCTCTGTGGCGAGAATAGATATCTTCGCCCGAATTGATTAGATGGATGACTTGTTCATGGCATATGCTTGTGCTTTCACATGAAGCACTTTTTTATAATGCGACTCTGATTCCGCGGGAACAGCGGCTTGGATACCAGTGTATGCATACTGAAGCATATGCGCATGAACGTACATATTTCTTGTTGGTTGTGACACCGTAACAACTATTGTAATTGGAGAAGTTCTGCTGGAAATTTGCTGGCAAACTTACCAAAACAACAGCTGTGCCGCTTCCACAGACGGTGCCGATATCTGTGTACACCACTGTGCAAGCTTGTTTTCCCACATCCCCCTGGCGATCTTTACCTTTTCCATGAATGCGCGTCTGTGCGCATCGCGCAAACTTGCAAGCTTCTTGCTCACAAGATCTCACAAACTGTGTGGTGTTCTCAACAGACAGCCGCCGACGTGAAAGCAATAAGGAAGGTGCTGGACGGCGCGGGTGGAGAAGACATTAAGATCATTTCAAAGATAGAAAATTGGGAGGGACTCAAAAACTTCGACGACATCCTGAAAGAGACGGATGGCGTGATGGTGGCAAGAGGGGATTTGGGCATGGAAATACCAGCTGAAAAGGTGCAGAGGAGGATTTAAATGTAGGGCATCGCTCACGAAACCCATTTCCAGCCAAGTGCGTAGCAGGCGCGTCACCGCCCATGGCTCAATGTACATCGGAAATTGATGTCTCGCCTCTGAGTCGGGGAAGTTTTGCATAATTTTGATCGTGCGGGCCACTGCCCGATGCAGACCACGTCGTCGCTTACGCCAGGGCGAATGCTGGATGGTTGGAAGAGCGATACAAAAACCAAGAGGGACGGGTGGACAGCGCGGTTGCATGTGATCTCCCTGAAGGCATCACTGAAACTTGCATGAGCTACATGCGCATGGATACCGCACTGGTGCTTCACCTCAGCGCCCTCTTGTCCAGAACCTTCACTTCCCGACGCATTTGGGCGAACGCGTAGCCTCGTGATTCTTGCACTGTTGGACGTGGACCATGGCCGCTGTGCACCGCAAGATTGGTTGCGCGGCGAGTGCCGGCCGCCGCTCATGGTGCAACCAAGCTTTCGGGCTGTGAAGTGTTGTGTGAACTCTGACGGGAACGGGGCCGTCTGGGTGCTCCCGCCAGCGTCATGGCTTGAGCCTTAAGTCCCAAGCCCTTAAGCCACAAGCCTGCGAAGCATGCTCAATCGCGGCCAGAATCGGCCGTTCCCCCCACAGCTTCCCCGGCGCTGACCGGCGGTCGCCTCCCTCAGGTCCCTCTGGCCCAGAAGATGATCATAACCAAGTGCAACATCGCGGGCAAGCCAGTCATCACCGCCACCCAGATGCTGGAGTCCATGATCAACAACCCCCGTCCCACGCGCGCCGAAATGACAGACGTCGCGAACGCCATCCTGGACGGCACCGACGGCGTCATGCTGTCGGGTGAGACTGCCAACGGCAGCTTCCCGCGGGCCGCCATCTCCACGATGGCGGCCATCTGCTGCAACGCGGAGCAGATGGCCGACGAAAGTGCCCGGTTCAGCTTTCTCAGGAACTCCACCCCAAAGCCCCTGTCTGACTCCGAGGCGGTGGCGTCCGGAGCCGTGATGGTTTCTATGGACATCGCCGCCAAGGCCATAGTGGTGCTGACGACCTCGGGGCGCGGGGCCAAGCTGGTGTCCAAGTACAGGCCGCGGGTCCCCGTGGTGGTGGCGAGCCCCAACGAGCGGGTGGTGGGCCAGTGCCGGTCGTACTACGGGCAGTTCGGCCTGCTGATGCAGCACGACTCCATGGAGCTGGGCGCTGTGGTGGAGGCGGTGTCCGCCTATGTGCAAGCTTTGGTGAGGGACGGAAGCCGTGGGAGAATCTGCGCCCGGCTGTTTCCATGCTGATGCGGGCAATTTGGAACCTAATGATAGCTGTTTACATGGCATTCTCAGTAATTGACTGTTTGGCGCGCTACAGTGCATGATAATGAAATAGGCACGAACGAGTAATTGCCATATTTTACCTTTTGTGCATCCGAGGACTGCGCGAACATCGTCCGTTATTTGCCCGTTAGTACTCGTCGCTGTAGTTCGCTGGAACTTGCCACGTTATCAAAGCCCACACACGCCTTCGCGAGCTGGGTGAGTTCTTGCTCTGAATCCCTCTTTGTCTTATACCTTCCCCTGAATTTCCGGTCTGGCTCGCTGTTGGATACATCCACATGTCCGTGAAGTGACGGAACGCCCTTCCAGCTGGAAATCCAGCATGTGCCTACAGGCGCGCACACTTGAGTCGGTGGCGCAATACTTTGTAGCGAATGTGTAGGTTCCAAGCACACTACTACCGGCAATGATTTTCTGACCATAGGCGATGTCTCTTTTTTTCCGTCTGACACATTCATCCTGCATCTGTGATTGGATGCGAGGGTAGAGGGGACTTGCATTGTGGAAATAGAGACTGGCAAAACAAGCATACATTATGCACACTTTGAAGACGTGATTTCATTCTTAGAAATGGTGGGTTGATGGTTGAAAGCGACCTCAAATTCGAAACTGTTGTAATGTTGACGTGCTTCTCCTTCATGACAAACAGTATGCCCTTGTGCCATCCTCCCCTGTAGGGCATTACCACCATTCAGCCCACCGATCAGCTCGTGGTCGTTGGGCGGCGGCTTGGCGCGTCTATCGACGAACAGCGGCTGACGATGAGAACCATAGTCGTGGGCGATCCGGGTGGTGCTGTGGATGTGCCGTACACAGCTTACCCCGGTACAAGAACTCTCTTCCACAGGTGGGACGTCGTGCGACGGCCATGGCGTGAGTAACGTTATCTTTATCTAGGACGGCGCGAGAACGCGGCGATGAACGCACATACCTAAAGTCGCCTCCTTTGTGCTCATCTGCTCACAGACCAACACTCCTAAAGTTTGCCCTTTGGGGAATGTGATAGTTTCTTGCGATGAGAAATGCTTGCAGAGGCTGTACCCAAGATCTGGTGAGATGAAGTCTTTAAATCCCCAAAATTGATGCCGCACTGAACCTCAACAAGATCTGGAAGCTGGTGATTACCATGGCGTAGCGTGCCGCGCCTCAATGTTTGCTACGAAATTACCCATTACCACGCTTGTCTAATCTCCAGAATTTCATAGGTCGACGAAAGTTGGCTTGGATACCCTCCTGGACGAAGAGAAGTACAAATACGTCATACGCAAAACGAAGATTGTCTGCACGATGGGGCCCAGCTGCTGGTCGGAGGATCAATTGGAGAGTCTCCTGAAAGCGGGCATGAACGTCGCTCGCTTCAACTTCTCGCATGGATCGCACGAGGCCCATTTGGAAGTCCTCGAGCGATACCGGAAGGTGATTATTTGCAACCGTTGGACTCATCAGTTCTGGCCCTTGCTGCAGCCATCCATGAAACGATGCGTCTTGCAATTAGAAGCCAATGCTGCGCCAAGGCTACTTAGTTTTTGCTATGGTGTTTCAGCAGTCAACAGCGAAGAAACAATCACTGATTGACTTATGTTCATCGATCCAGCACTTCAGGGTCACTGGTGCTTTGGCAAATGGGAAACCCAATTCCAACCCTGTGCGAAGCTTGCTATGGATTGAGGACGGGCTTTCCTAGCCGCCATAACGCAAATAGCAAACAGACGAAGTACATGGTTTTAAAACCCATAAATTTGCAAGAATAAATGGGATGCAAGAGAATGAAATAAACATAAAATGACGTTATTTGCATTGCTGCAGCGGCCGCAGATGCTTTAGAGTGGTCACCAATTGGTAACCACATTTCGCACGGCATCCCGTCACGTCCGCTGATCCAGGAGGGTGCGAGTGACGTAGGTGTGCAAGGCCCAATGTAGCACAGCTGCCTCCTTACTGGACACGAAAGGTCCCGAGATCCGCACGGCCATGCTCGTGGAACACAAGCCCATACAATTGGAGGCGGGGCAGGATATCATAATCGAGGCCGTGGGTGACAGGTACATGGAAAGAGATTCATACTGCCGCTTTTGTTCTCACCCCCCACACTGTGTTTTCAATTGCACGGTGCGCGCATTGACCTTTACCCCTTCAGAACAATTAGCTGTGATCCTATGTGTTGTGGAATGTAATTGAAGGCGCTCTGCGGCTTTGTGCCTGGGAATGCACACACTTACAGGCTTACCCGTTCACTTTACTAAGAGATTGCTGGCTGCTAAAGAATTATGAAGGTTGTATATTTCTCCCGGGGACGATGCTCAGCGCGTGTGAATATCATCAACAGAAACTAGCCACTACACCCACTACACCTTAGGACAGGAGGGGCACCTGTACTCCTCAGCACGATTTTAGTCTCTTGGAATATATTATCTTTTCTCATATAAAGAAGGAGAACCAGGAAAAAAGGTTGTACTCGCACACGCAATGCGAAAACAGGTACACAGAATTCGAGGGTCACAAGACAGAGGAGGAAACTAGGATTGGGTTGTCGTATGCTAAGCTCTGCTCATCGGTGGTCCCGGGAAACAAGATCCTCCTGGCCGACGGCACCGTCTCCATCGAGGTTCTTGAGATCCTAAACGACACTGAGCTCAGGGGACGCGTTGCCAACACCAAGGCCCTTGGGGAGCGCAAAAACTGCAACCTGCCAGGGGTCAAGGTGGATATACCGGTGCTGACGGAGAAAGACATCGGAGACCTGAGGGACTTTTGCTGCAAGCACGAGATGGATTTCGTGGCGGCATCGTTCGTGCAGAGCAAGGCGGATGTGGAACTCATAAGAGGCGTGCTGGACGAGGCGGGGGGACACAAGGTGTGCTGAAGGGTGTTGTACTGCATGGAGACCCACATTATGGTTTCGGCCAATCGTGTGTCCCAGGTCTGTGACTGGCTGTCTGACTGGCTGGCTCAATGAACGAATGAGCGAGTATGTGAGCGAATCTGTCCTGGTCCGTGAGCGTAACTGCGACGCTGCAAAGGCAGGTATATACTGCACATTGAAGTATACAAAACCATGCAAAGTGTCGCTTAGGCGCTTTTTCAATATCACGAAATTCAACTGCACAACAGTCTAAATGGCAATATGTGCTAGCGAGGATGATCTGTGTCCCTGGAGACAGTTAACTGCATCATTGTATGTCATTTTTTTTGCGAAGGCTGAACGCTCGTACCCCCAGCCCACTGCCTTCAATCTTTTCGAAACGCAAAGCTGCTTCTGGCAGGCGCTTCTCTGCTCGCCGGTTACGCTTTCACCTGTTCTGAAACTTTGAAATGTACATCCGTGCAATGATTCAACAGCATTCTGCAGCTTCATCATGAATATGAGAGTTGAACGCCCTTCAGCACCTTTCAGCCGAAGCTCTGCACCCGTGGGCGGCAGGTGAAAATCATATCCAAAATCGAGAACGCCGAGGGCCTGAGGAACTTCGACGAGATCCTCGAGGCGACGGACGGCGTCATGGTGGCCCGCGGCGACCTGGGCATGGAGATCCCCGTGGAGAAGGTCCCCCTGGCCCAGAAGGTGATGGCGACCAAGGCCAACATCGCCGGGAAATTCTGCATCTGTGCCACCCAGATGCTGGAGTCCATGGTCTCCAGCCCCTTCCCCACGCGCGCTGAAATGACGGACGTGGCCAACGCCGTCTTCGATGGCGTCGACGCCGTCATGCTGTCGGGGGAGACGGCCAACGGGGCGAACCCCGGCGTGGCGGTGTCCACAATGGCCAAGATTTGCCGCAGCGCGGAGCTGGGCGTGAACTACTACCAAGTGTTCGACTTCGTTCGGGAGTTCACGCCCAAGCCCGTGGGGACCGTGGAGGCCGTGGCCAGCACGCTGGCGAAGAACGCCGTGGACGTGAGGCCGGGTGCGCCTCTGGGAACCAAGCCGGCTGTGCCACCGCAGGGATGCAACCAAAACGATCGGATCGTTGTTTCTGCCGAAAGAAGAAAGAAAGGAGGTCGCGGTTGCCGCGCCAGGGTGGTTTCGTACTTGTGGCAATATCTGGTGACACTGAAAACTCTCTGTCACGTGTCCAGCGCAAAGGGACTCTGGCTCGGGGCTTTCCTAGATTTAATGAAATCGATAGTCTTTGCCGATACAGCCTGCCGCAAAAAATCGTTTTGTGGGAATTTTGTCTCTAATGTCCATCTAAACAACGACAATATGAAGTGTTGAAAATAGAGAGACGGTTTTGTTTCGGCACCGTAGAGCACGGATGGCACTGCTGTCTGGACCATCGTCTGCTTCCCACTTGGGCGCTGAAACACACGCTCACAGCAAAGCCATGTCCGAGGTCAGCATTCCATTCCCAATCCACTTGCATTAAAATGCACCTCCATGCCTTAATAGAGAACCACAGTGCCGGTACATCTCCCCGACAGCGCGTGCTCAATAATTTCTCCACCGCACACAGGCATGGTAGTGGCATTTTCGGAGGAGGGGAAGACCGCAAGGCTGATCGCCAAATACAGGCCCTGCTGCCCAGTCTTGGTAGTCACCTCCAATCCCACCCTGTCCAGGCAAGCATCCGTCCTCTTCTCCGCCCACGTCATGCTGCTGGACAAGAAAATCAGCGGGCCGCTGCAGGCCTGCGTGACCAAGGCGCTGCAGCACGGCGTGGACACGGGGATATGCACGCCGGGAAAGGAGGTCCTGGTGCTGACAAGCACCGCGGTTACCTCAGTAATGGCAGGAGGTATCGGTGGCGAGAATAGAACTGGTGTTTTGCAAAACACACACACTTCGGTTGTTGAAACGTTCTGAGTGTCTCGAAATTGCCGACAAACGTTGCGCGCAAAACCCATTCGTCACCGCGACTGTGCAGTTGGGCCCCTTATTACCCCCTGAATGTTCCTTTCACCTGTCACTGTATTTCCTGGTGCGCGTTCAACAGGACTGTTTGCTGCAATCGAATTGCTCCGGTACAGCAAAGAGGGCTTGCGCGTCGGGTTGCCTTTCGCACCTGCACGTGTTGCCTCGATGACACATGAATCAGGGCAAATAGCTAGTCGTTGCAGCGCATGATTGCTCAGGCATTGTTCCGCAGATGGCGCAAAACAGCTTCCGGAACGCGAGTCCTACGCCACCCTGGCTCCCGGGACGGTGGACTACCAGAAACTCGGTTTCATGGCACCCTTCGTGGGCCACAGGGACCCGACGCTCACCGCCAAGACGGTGTGCCTGCGGTCCACGGTCATCGATCTGCCCATGCTCACCGGCAGCACCTCCACCATCCGGAAGACTAAAATCGTTGCGACGCTGGGGCCCAAATGCTGTGGCGAGGACACCATGGCGGCCATGCTGGACGCGGGGCTGAATGCCATCCGCGTGGAGCTGCACCAGAACGGCATGGAAGAGGCGGAGGCGCTGATGAAGCGCTTCAGAGAGGTAGCTCTCCACAACGCCGGTGCTGCACAGCACCACTTGTGCCTCGTGCGCTGTTGGCTTTGGTGGTTTGACGCACTTCCAGGAAACTCACTTATATACAAATGCGCCTGAATTGGAACAATTTGGACAGAACCACATATTGTGCGTTGCGAAAGCTTTTTGCGCTGTTGGCGCATGAGCGATGCCCCTTTCGTGCGAAGCCTTCCTGGGTGCTATCGCATGGCTGTTTGTGGGTGCCGCTTTATGTTATAACAGTGAACTCGCAATTGCGCAGAGGCAATCTGTTGATCGGATGGCCCGAAGGAGGAGACTTATGCGAATTTCGTCCTCCATCGCGCTGGCATTGCGGTTTTGTCGACAATCAGAACATGGTGTTGTTACGGCTAGAACTGATTGAGTGTTATTAATAACTGAGTGCATGAAAAGATGATGAAGCACTAGGAATTGAATTAAGTATGTTGATGAACGGACGGGTGTAAAGGACAGAGCGCTTGTTGTCCTTTTGCCTCTGCTGTAAACCGTTGTCGTGGACTCGAGCGTGCAATTCCCGTTCAGGGATCTCCACCCCTCGATCCTGCCTGCCTTCGTCAGTGTCATTTGGTGGAAACGTTGCTCCCTTGTTAAGGTGAATAAATAGCTCAAAATAGCGGGATAATGGCGCAGAAAACGTTGATATCAAAGCATTACCATTTGACGAAAGCGCAACGCTGATGAAATATTGCTGTTATATGGTCAATATAATCACCCCAACTATAAATCAACCAATTAGATCAAATGAATTCATCCCATTATAAGGACATATCCATTGATGTTGCATAGGCTTGGTTATTGCGCGCAATGAAAGCGCGGACAACAACATAAAAACGCGTCAAAATCCATTGCAATAACACTATACATGTTACACCATGAGCTTGTTGTGACAGCACGCCGGAAGCCGAGAAATAGGACATCCGCAACATTTCGAAAAGCTCCACCCAGCGGAGTCACTATGAATGTAGATGACATTCCTTTATCGGAAACTTTATCTAATAATGACGCAGAGGAAATCTGTGCAACATTCTGAGACTCGGAGAGAGGAGCACTGCTATCCTCCGCTGCGAATGTACCGCACATGTTAACGATTTTCTACAATCACCTGAGGAAAGATATACCGCAATTATGACGAAATCCCTCGAATGCTCGAGGTCACTCGTCATCACCGCTCCATTTCCCAATACCTCATCCGAGATGGCGCCGCCGGGCGCTGGTCCCTTTCGCACCGCAGGTCAGCGACAGGAAAGGCGCCCGAGCCGCCATAATCGCAGACGTGGTGGGACCCCTGTTCCACGCCCAAAGGCTGGACGTCGGCGGCAGCGATGTGGACTCTGTGGACTTGAGCGAGGGGATGAATGTCTACGTCACCTGCTCCGAGGCGAGCACATCAATTCCGAAGCGAGGCGCCAAGGGGCTGGCCATATGGCTGGGAGGCGGAGGCGGAGTCGGCGCGGTTCGTCTGAAAGATCGGTTGACACACCAGGTGCGAAAAGGTTGCCACTCCGCGCATCGCCAAGCACACGAATCTTATTGATGATGCGGAAATGCTATTTTTTTCGATTGGGGGCCGCACAACTTTATTGCGTTCACAAATGCGGTGGATGTTTTGTAAGCGCCGCGTGGACGCGCCCCTTGCATGATATGTAGAATAGAATGCAAACTGCTGCAAACGTTAGCCTATCCTTCCACCACACTCTTGCGTTTTTGGCTGGCAATAATTGCTGCTCAGTGCATTGCATTGTTGTGTAGTTGTAACATTTTGGCTCAACGCAAGTCGCCGCTGGGATCTTCAGCATTTTGGGCAGAAATTTAGCCCGTGCTGGATAGTAGGCGTGCTCGCACTTTGGGCAATGTTGCACACATGTGCCTTCTATGTAATCATGTCCCAAACAAACTCGGTGCAGATACAAATAGGGAGCCCGATCGCTGCAGCCGAAGGCACCTCCAGCACACCAGACCCGTCAGGAATGACCTCACTAATAGCAAGTTATTAATTTCGTCCATTGCGCGAAGGGCGGACTGATGCAATTTGCGATCGAGAAGGAAGTGGAAGATTCCTGGTTCGTGGGCAGAGTTCTGGTTCCGGGAAGGATCGCAACGGGCGACAAGATCGGAGATGCCAATTGCGACCTCACGTCTCCCGTCATCCTGGACACGCTGCGCAATATATCAAGGAGTAATAAGGTGGGGAGCGCATCATGAGGTGGCTCCTAAACTGGCGGCTGCGCTCCGTGTTGCTTGAAACATGTTTTTCGGTTCGTTTCCTTCCCTTAAATGCTACAGCCATGCCGTGCTTCAATTTTGCAATCTGCATTTGTACTGCCACCGGGTAATCTTACAAGTTAACCCTCAGCAGTTGGTATGGTACGAGACGTGTTTGCACTTAGCATACTTCGGATTAGTGGCTGCAATAGGTTGATTGCATTCATTGCAAATGCACTGTTGAAGCCACCAGTGAAGAAAACAAAACATGATTTGGCCCCGCTTCAGCGAATTGGGCGCTACTGGCGACAATTTTTAGCAATATTTGCGCTCTGAGAAAGACTGAAAAATTTTGCGTATACAAATTGCACGCCAGGGCACATGTGCCTTATCTCACAGGAGATTTTGGCAGTGCATAGTCAGGGACGCATCCATAGCCTGGACATCGATCAGGATATGGGGCTCCCGTATTTCCGTCTATAGCCTGGACACCGCATGTTGTATGGCCATATCCTAGATACGATTGGAGCACATGACCATGTACAGGATTTGCCGTATCCTAAATATGTGCATCCAAAATATGCATCTCTTCTCCAACGATTATGGCTAGGGAAGAACGGCTGCAGGCAAGGGCGGATGAACGGAAACATGTAGATGAGGGTACTGTCCTTGAGCATGTGAAGTGACGCCACTTGCGCTTCGACAGAGCAGGTTGAATTCTTCAGCATGTCCTTGGGGTGCCTGGAGGATGTGGATGCTGTAAGGGACGCCCTGGAAGTGGACAAGGAGCCACCGGCTAAGATTATAGCCAGGATCGAGAGGAATGACCAGCTGAAAGAGGTGTTTGACATCATCGATGCCACGGACGGAATCATCGTATCAAGAGGCGCCCTTGGAGGCGCCATCACTCCACAAAAGGTGGCTTGTCTCCGAGCAACACAAAATAGACATACTCCGATTGCTTAATGCGGTAATCCCGCTTACAGGATTGTTTTACGCCTGCGCATGGGAGCAATGTGCCTTTGCTCTCATGGCCGTTGCTGATCAGGTCATGAAAGCGCCACTGAGGACCCTGCGCGCCGGTCATGAGCATGCACCGCGTCGCCCAACATCTCTGCGTTCGCTCGGGCGCAAAGGATTGCCCCCGATGTGTGAAGCAGATCTGTGGTGCCCTTGCAGGTCGCCCTGGCCCAGAACGTTCTCATCACAAGGACGAACGTCGCCGGAAAGGTGGTCATCACGACCGGCCAGATGCTGGAGTCCATGATCGGCAACCCGCGCCCCACTCGCGCTGAAATGACGGACGTCGCCAATTCGGTCTTTGACGGCACTGACTGCATCATGCTGGAGAGGGAGACCTCTCACGGGGATTTCCCTGTGGAATGCATTGCCACGGCAGATGCCATTCTGCGCAACGCGGAGACCGCCACTAATTACTGCGCCGTACATTCCTTCATCAGGTGAGCTGCAGCCCAGCAGTGTGGGTGGGCGGCCGAGCATGTCCAGAGCAGCTATGAGTTTTGCCTCACAGGTAAAACTACCGTTGCACTTCCCAGATTGCGCGAAGATGGGCACCATGCGTATTCGTAAAAGAGCTGAATAAGCAAGCCCCTTTACACCATTCCAGTAGTTCACAACTTGCGATGCAGCAGTGAAAGGCAATGGATAGCAGCAATGAAACAATCCATCCAGCGAAAGAATGGCCCTACTCACACTAGGAAAAAAAGGGCCAAAGAACACGTGTTCCAACGTGTGCAAAGTTTATGGGATTGTGTTAATTTTTGTGTTCTTAGCGTGCAGAACTTTGATGAAGTGTGTTTTATGTGTGTTCGCAAAAGTTTTATTTGGCCCTTTTTTCCCTAGTGTCATGAGCCCGTGTCACCCTCTCTTCCACCGCAGGGACATGTCTCCAAAGCCCTTCACCACTCTGGACGCATCGGCATCGGGAGTTGCCAAAGCGTGCGTGGACGCCGGTGTCGGCATCGTCATTGTGGTGTCCAACACAGCCGTGGCGGCGGACCTTGTCGCAAAGTACAGGCCGCCTACTCCCCAGGTGTGGCTGCGTTCTCTAGTTGGTCTCAACGCTATTTAAATACCACATTCTACGTGATAGCAGAAGAAAGAAGCGGATATCCGCCGCATACAAGCTTACGTGACTCAATTAAGTGAATGTGCACACAGTTCTGCAGCAGTGAACTTCGTTCTCTGAATGGACCCAGTGTTGTCCACTTGGACCCTGCGGCTGTCTATACTAGAAATAAATCCGTAAATGCGTCTGCGTCCACAAGTCCATTACCTGCAGTTGCACGGCGAGGCCATCGCTATGGTCGTGCATATTAGCGGTGGCCGCGGTTGTTGCAATTCCCGCAGCACTGGCTGTTCCCATTGGTGCGCCACCCTCCGCTTCACCCGTTCTCAAACCGGGCGAACACCCGTAGAAACAGAAATCCGGCAATCGTCATTTACGTTGCACCTCCCAAATAATGGGCGAAAATGGCATCATAAGCATGACCAATATCACATATATCGTTCCCATGTTAACGCATCGCACATATTTACACTCGGTTTCCACAGCAGCTCAGCGCTATTTGCACGCGGACTTTAGTTGCGTGCAATGAACCACATTTGGGCCAGTGAAACACCTGTTACACCCCATGCCGCAGGTGGTCGTCACCATGCATCCCATAGTGGCGTCCCAGGCGCAGATCAATTTCGGGCAGCATGGGTGCCACGTGGAGGAATACGGGGAGGACGTGGGCGCACTGTTGAGGAAGGCCATGAGTTGGGCGAGGGGCAGGGGTCTGGTTGGCCAGGGGGAGAGTGTAGCGGTCATGCACGGGTCGGCCGTGCCCAACGCGGACGAGGACCCAGTCATTCGGGTGTGCGGAGCAGAGGCGTTGTGATGCGCGGCCGTGCGTGCTGCCGGCCGCGACAGGCCGCGGTTTGGATGTTGGGTCCAGCAGTTTCGGCCAAGATTTACATAATCATTTGCCTCAATTTTCCATGAAATCGGCGGAAGGCGATGGCGAAACAGCTGCGTGTAACGTGGGTATCGGCTGTAGCAGGAAGAGGATGGGCGATGTTCCGCTCACCTTGGCGCATTGTGGGCGAAGAACACATCTTCGCCGTGGTGTGTGGGCCTGTTGTCGGTGGCTGCACTCTGCGCCCGAATGCACATCGGTGCCGCACCACGACGTCCATAGCGACTGCTTCGCTGTCGCATTCAGCGCACCCGTGTTGGGAATTCATGTGAGCCTCAGTTGTCGACCTTGCTTTCGCTTTCTTTGCTGTGGCTCATGAACAGAATGCTCAAGATTTGCATAGTGCTACCGATATCCCGAACCGTGGTCCGATTTCTGCTGCCTACCGGATGAGCATTCGGGTCGGCTGAGAGTATACTCAGTGGATTTGAGGGAGGACAACATGCTTTTTTGAGAGTCGCTTTATTATTGAGTCTCGAATTTGGGATGCTGTTTTCTGTACATGACAAAAGGCTCAGTAGCCTTGACTGGCTCCTGGCCCTTGGAATTATTCAATCTAATGCTGTTGATTCTATTTTTTGGTGCTCAGAACAGAAACAATGAGAATGGGGAGATGTTCATTTCATCACCCAGCATCCTTGTCCCATCAATTCATAGCGTCCTCGCCTGCTGGCAGTAGGCTATTGCCGTTGCAGCAGTGACCATGTCGCCAAACAACATCTCATGAGAGGTTGGATGCTCATCCAACTCTCAGACCCTCTGCCTCACACACCTAAAGAGCTGCTCCCCACTCATTTGCATTCCCTAATCCATCCACCGCACGATCTCGGATTCGCTTGGCGGACGGACGGAGGTTGCTACGCACATTTGCGACCTTTCATGTCGCAGCTATTCCAAGCGCGTCACCTCCTGGCCAGTGGTTTGGGCCCAGGGTGCCCCTCCAGTACGCCCCATCGCCCCGCAGCCGCGATGCACTATCCCTGGGTAGGGCTAAACCACATTATGCTCGCAGCCACCGAGCACGGAACTGAGTGGTCCCCAAACTGACTGCCGCTGCGACACTCGCAGGCCCCGTGCTACTCACACCCCGGTCCACGCGAACTCTTGCTCCCAGACTGAGCCACGTGGACTGCACCGTGCTGGTGCCCTTACCGTCGAGGCCGCCAGCAGAAGCACTACCGCGACCGCTGTTCCCTTCATCCCGTTCGCCTGTGCGGCCGCCCCTGGCGCGCCTGCCTACCTACTGCCACCAAAGCGGGCTTCAAGGACCAGCCACAAGTGCGGAACAAGAAAACACGCGTCCAGATGATGCACAGACCGCTCGTCGTAAGGCATGCCGGATCGCCCATGTGCTCTGATCACGCCTGCGTTGGCCAACGAGCCGAAGACACTACGGAGACAAGGATTCCGAAGCGACACAGCGGACAGCGACTGTTAGAGGCGATCCCAACGAATTACTGGACTGTGCGCGTGTGCGTGGTTCAATGGGCGCGTCGTTGAAAAATGTAACGCGGGGCACGTTTGCCGACATGCCGCCAGCTCCTCCGCCTCAAAACTGTAGGCAGTCCGCAGAACGCGGTGCTTTCGCGGCGGCGCGGTCCGCAGTCCGCCGTCCGCCGCGGACTGGATTGCAAAAACGAGCTCAGCGCTCTCCTCGCCTGGGCGTCGGGGCGTGGATGAGGGGACGCGTCGGTGAAACCTGTGGCGCGGTTGCAAAGTCGCCCAATCCTGCCACCTTCTCCGCCTGGAGACCCTTGACAGTCCGCAGGGGGCGCGCTGTTTCGCGCTGGCACGGCCGCCACACGAAAAGATTGCGAAAACGGCAACACCAATCCCCAGATTGGGCAGTGGCGCGTCGGCGAAACCCGGAAGGGCGTACGGCTGGCAAAACGTCATGCCCCCTTCCAGAGATTCTCAACAGTCCGCAGCTCCCGTTGCTTTTGCGGTCATGCCACCGCCGCGCAGTAACAGGAACAGTGACATACATGGACGTCCCCGAGCACACAACACGGTGGCCCCATCCCCAAGCATTGGCATACATGGATATTGCAATGCAATGGATATGGCGATGGCATGGAATTAAATCACTCCCGTAAAGGGATGAACCCCTTCAAAACGGATGAATGTTGGTCCCAGCCCCCCTAATGTAGGTCCTACAACTGCCGTTGCACGTGTTACCGGTAGTGACCGGGAAACTGACCCGCGAGGAATAGCGTGCCGTGAGGGGCGCCCAGTTACTGGCGGGGTTGGGTCTGCGAGGGTCGCCCAATTTCGGGCGGGGCCGGGGCAGCGACGTTGGCTCGCAGCTAAGCAAAGTGGTGTTAAGCCGGTGCAAACGGATTGTAGCGTGGCTGACCGGCCCCTCGGAGGGTGCCGGGTGGCGCAGCCACACACTCGTTAACCGTAGCCTTCGCCGTCATTGGCTCCCGCTTGCACCCCACTTGGCACTTACGTAAGGCGTCATATATACAGGTCGATTGTCTCATGCCCTTTTCGTGAAAGCTGGCAGACCGATCTGCTCGAAAGTCACCAGCTTAGAAGAATATTCCACCGGCCGCCCCAGCTATTCTGGCTTGGCCAATCCCTGAATGAAACCCCACGACTTTCCCATGACTATTCTGATCCCACAACTAAACACCGCTTCCTCCCAACTTCTCCATCACAAACCTTTGAGCCAGCGGCCTGGACTTGCCCACCCGCCGGCGTTCCTATGTTCCTTAACCGCTACCCATCTCCCTCACTCCCTTCTCTACCACCTCTACCGCAGCTCCCTCCAACTGCCCCACTAACTACACGCCCCACTCTCAATATTGAGAGTGATTAGACTTAATCGTTCACAACCTTCCCTCGATCATCCCATAGTACCAGTCCAGCGCCCCATCCCCACAGTAGAAAGAGCGTGAAAGGCAAAAGGATCCAACTCGCAAAGGGCGCCAGATCCGGATCGTGGATGTCAATCGAAACTGAATAGCCACAGACAGCGATGTCGTTGAGGAGCTTCCAGCCGCTTCGAGACGCACTACACGGGAATGCACGGAGGCGCGCAACTTTTTCAACCGTGCAGAATTCGACCAGCATTGGGAAGCAGAAGGATGTAACTTGGTCAAAAAGAAGTGCTCGTCACTGCAGGAGGCGCTGAAAGTGTCCTAAAATTGCAAATTTGGAAAAAAAGAGCGGTTGCACTGCGAACTCTTTCAAATAGAACCGAAGGATTTGCAGCACAATTGCGTACAACCAACTGGCCAGTCGCCGCAGTGCTATTGTTTTGCTCAGATCCGTGAATACCGCAACACAAATCTAGACAGCCATCCTGCAACCGTAATTCACGAATATTGGTAGCAGTTCGGCTGTTGCACTGCGAATTCTTTTGTACAGATCCAGAAACACCATAGCGCGATTGTGGGCGGGCATATTTGCAGGCCCTGTTCACGAATCTAAGCAGCAATTCGGCTACTCCACAGCGCATTCTTTTGTGCAGATCTGGAAACACCGTTGGACGGTTGTGGATTGCCTCACATCCCTCGCACGTGTATGGCCACGACACAGTGAACGCCTATCATTTCCATGCTCAATCAACCATTTTACATACTCTCCAAACGGCGTGGTCCTCTGCTGCTCGCCAAGAAGAATTCCCTTGCTGTTAGAGTCGCCGAGGTTGAACGCTCGGCTGTCCCACCGCCAGTCCCCCCCCCCCCCCCCCCCCACACACACACACGTTGAGCTGGAGAACGGCAACCGGCGCCGAGGCTTGACCGCGGTTGACGACTGGCTCCTTTCACCGAAAACCCGGTTGGTAGAAGACCGGAAACGGTCGCCGGTCCCTAGGACCTACGGGGGGCGGGGGCAACATTCATCCGTTTGAAGGGCAGGATTCATCCTTTTACGGGAGGCGTTCAATTGCTTTCCATGGGGAATCCCCATCAGGAATAGAAGGCGCCGACGCACCTGCCTGTGGTCGCTGACACTGGCTCGAGACGGTGGACAGCTAGGGCTCAAGTTGTCTAACCTGGATCCGTTGCGCAGAGGAGCAACGCACGAATGGACATGATTCCCCTCAATTTGTGGCCGCCGCGAGGATGTGAAGTAGACCGCGACATGTCGACTGCCGAGGGTGGGAGGAACAGCCTCAAAAAGGTTCTGTAGCTCTAGAATTCTTCTGAGATCTCAGACAGCTCCGCACAACCTCCGGGCACAGTCAGTGTGTTGGGGACAAACATCGAGGCCCTCGAACACGGCCGGAGGATGTCCTCGGATGTGACTTGGGACGCGTGGACACACAGACTCCTTGAGACCCTGCGGAAACTTGGAACTATTCAAGGCTTGCCGGAAATGCCCCGATCATGGGAACCGCATGTGTAGAATCTTGGGAAAGCTGAACGGTGTGCGGGAAATCCCCGGACATAGTCATGGTGCCCTCGCGGCATGTACGACACTTGCCACATGTAGGTCTTGTAAACGAGCGACTGCCCCCCTTTGGCGAAGAGGCGCCGAGACCCTCGCGGAGGCTGCTGTCCGCTTGGATGTCTGGTCTTTGGTGAGCACGCACGGGCAATGAACGCAGAGTGCAGCGAGGCGGACGCCCACGAGGATCTGCTGTTGGGTGCGCAGAGCCACAGGCGTGGAGGAGAGGGGGAGGGGGGCCGGCGGAGTGGCTGATGTTTCTGCTGAGGTATTCGGAGTGCTGGGAACGCTGCCAGGAGGTGTCTATCTAACAGGTGAGCGTGGATACTGAGAACGCATGTGTCGATGGAGATCGAAATGAGCGCCAAAATATGTAACCATAACAGCATCTGCACGCGTTCTGCACGACTTTGAACTCGGTCGAGCTGTCCCCCTCCCCATTGGCTGGCTGTGTTGAAATTGATCTGCTTCTGACGTGATTCGCGATCCTGGATGGTGGCAAGGTGTTGTTGCGCTCTGTTCTCCACCTGACATTGGATGCTTCCATGAAGACAACGTACCATTCCGCGGTACTCCCATGGCCGTGGGAGTGGATTCGGCGCAATTTGACTGAATGCTCGTTTAACTAAGCAGGTGCGAAAGGGAATGCTGTTACGCGGACCCTAAAGAGCATTATATGTTTTCTGATGATGCAACCATACCCAAATTCGTATTTAAAACATGTAAGCAGTGCCTTCTTGTTGTGTGCCAAATGGTGCATCGGTTACAATTTCGTACACGGCACTAGTAAAAAACAGGCCAGATGACACACTCCTGACACGGTCTGCTCAAAATCCAACTGTGTACTTTCGGTAAATGTGGTCCCAAAGTTACACAGTCAGTACACACATTGACACAATTTCAACCGTGTACCCTCAAACAACTGTGTAGACTACACGGTTTCCTAGGATGCACGGTTGAAACTGTGTCAATGTGTGTACTAACTGTGTACTTTTTGGACCACATTGCCCGAAAGTACACAGTTGGATTTTGAGCAGACCATGTCAGGACTGTGTCATCTGGCTTGTTTTTTACTAGTGCAGCATATCCGCTGCCATATGCAACATTACTGGGAGGGCGAATGGACATCTGATAAACGATTGTATGGTATGTGGTGATTTACAGTGAGATGCGGTTGCGGTGGCCATGGTGTTGTGCTATGGTGAAATGCATATGGGGACAGAGGAGACGGGAAATGAACATTCTTTCAGTGACTGTTACTTAGCTGGTTCACTCATACTGTAATGAATCTGGCTACGGCCTTGCTTCCCGTGCTGGGAGCGACCGTGTGCGAGCATCCTTGAACGTGTTTGGTTCCGCTCATAATTACCATACATATCAAATAAATGCGGAGTAGGGGAAAAAGCTATTACGATATGAATTTTTGCTTGCATACACTGAATTTCAGAACAGTGGCTCAGATAATGCGTTAGCTACTTTCATTGTGCAGAACCATCGACATTACCAGTGAAGAATGCATAGCAAGTGATTTGGTCACAATACAATGCATTGTGCATTGGTGGCAAATGGATTCTGGCAGTAGATGCAATCTGAGCAAGGGCCAGAGAGTAGGCCCCTTGTATCATGGCACTGGCAAACATGCAGTATTGGATAGGCAATTATCTGCAGCGTATGCCAATGTATGGAAACATGGCGGCATGGAAACACAGATGAACAGAATCCTGCAGTTGCAAGAAGTGTCCTTGCACACGGGTGACGCCACTCCAGCAGAGCAAGTTGCACTGTTCGGCATACCTGTGGGGTGCCTGGTGGACGCGAATGCTAGCAGTGATGCCTTGGCAGTGGGGAAGGAGCCTCCGGCCGAGATCACAGCCGCGATCGAGCCTTGTCAAGTGAAGGAGGTGCTCGACATCATGAACGCCAATGATAGAATTATTGTGTACAGGCCTTGCCAGCTGCAAAGAAACCGTTCGTTTGGGAAAAATCAAGGCAAAAAAAAGAAAAAAGTCGCAACGACGTGGGCCCGCGTCGTAGGACGTCCGCAGCAGAGAAACCGGTATTCTGAGGAAAAAAGTATAGACCAAAAAACATCCTCGCAACCACGTGTTCGCACCTGATAGGACGTCCTGCACCCAAACCGTCTGCAGGCCCTTTCGGGGTACTCCTCCCCTCCCCGCAAGTGACCCCCCTCTCTGCTTCCCCACCCGGCAGCCCATGCCACCTCCACTCCCCGTGCCGATGTCCGCCGGCGCCCTGCAGGCCCCTCTCAGGGCAGACGCGCCTCGCGCGCTCCCCGCCTCGATCATCGCGCATCAGATCCCGCCTGCTCGGCCGCACCCTCGGCGGTGCCCGTCCAGAGCCCATGCCGCCAAGGGGGACAGCCTGTCGGGATCCCAACACTCGTACACGGTGCCCAGCGGCGCCGGCGGACCGGCGGTTGAGGAGAACATGGCGGAGGAGGAGGGCGAGGAGGCGGCGGTGGGGTTCGGCATGAGGAAGACGAAGATGGTGTGCACGATCGGGCCGGCGACGAGCGACAGGGAGAACCTGTTCGCGCTGGCGGACGCGGGGATGAACGTGGCGCGGATAAACATGTCGCACGGGAGCCACGAGTCGCACAGGTGGGGGGCAGGCGCTTGCAGCCGGTTGGGGCCGCAAGTTTGTTGCAAAGAGAACACAAGAAGAAAATTTCCGGCATATGGTGTTGTGACAAAGATGTGCGTGTCACCGTCCATGTTATACCCACAATACGTGACCCATCAGATTGTATCAAGGCCACGTTCAGGGCCGCCCGTGTGTCACCGCAGTACCGCCACTATCTCAAAAGACAACTCCGTGGAACAGCACCGCACAGTACATTTATTCAGGTTGCATCCCAGTAGGAGGCAGAAAACACACACAGAACACAGTGCCATCAGGACACCACCCCACATCCCCGTGAGAAACAGAAACAGGTCATACAAAAGGAGCACCCTCCTAAGCAGGTGTGTGCCAGACTGCTGTGAGAAGGCGATGTAGAATATCTGGTGCGAAATGATGAGCACCCATAAAAACACTAAAGACAAGAAGACATGCACCCAGGGGGCCAGTGTGAAAAGAGTGAAAGTGTACGGAATGTTAAGTACGATGGAAGGTCTCCAAGGGGTCAGGGTGGGGGGTTGGGGGGGGTTGTGCTGGTGGATTGGTCAGATGGGGAGAGAAGAATGCCGAATTGCCGAATATGGGGGACCTGTGGAACCCTATTGTGGAGGTGGTAAGCATGCCATGTCCCAAAAAGGCCACCATCTTTGACAGAAGATGATGATTCATATTGAAGACGGCATGGAAGCGGAATACAGTTGGTTAGATAGCTAGTTCCTTTCCGGTCAGGCCTGGCTGAACTTTTGATTGTTGCTGTGGTCCATTAGTGCCTTTCTGTGAGCAAACTATGCCTTCCCTTAGTCCCATCTACAAACACTCACTGTGAGATGAAATATTGCTGATGGTGTCCAACTTTTCACACTCGCCAAGGGAAAGTCTTATTGCCAAAGATAACCTGTCATGTCAGTTCTTGCATAGCTGCCTAGGGGCCTGCCAGCTGTTGCCTTCTCAGCAGAAGGGAAAATGTGGAACAATCACAACCGTCCTGTGCAGTCATATTGTGAGACTCTTATCTATAAGATGGCATGGAATTCTCCAAGCAAAACAGCAATTGTACACAAAAAGGGCAGAGATTGCATACCAGGGGCCTTAGGAAAGGAAGGTATGCTTGTTGCAGGGAGGTCGTGGAACTAATCAAGGAATACAATGCCCTAGGGAGAAATGGTGTCGCAGTGATGCTAGACACAAAGGGCCCAGAGGTACGCAGTGGTGACCTGGAGGTGCCCATCAACATGGAGACGGGCGATGTCTTCTGGTTCACGATCAAGGAAGGTGCCAAGGGGCAAGATAAGCGAATATCAGTGAACTACGATGGCTTCATAGATGATGTGGAGATTGGAGACACCTTGCTGGTGGATGGTGGGCTGCTCAGTTTCTTGGTGCGGGAGAAGACAGACACGGAAGTGAAGGTGGAGGTGGTGGACTCTGGGGTGATGGCCTCAAGGCGACACCTGAACGTGCGGGGCAAGAGTGCTAACTTGCCTTCCATCACAGAGAAGGACTGGCTGGATCTGGAGTTTGGGGTGGAAGTTGGGGTGGACTTCTATGCACTCTCCTTTGTGAAGGATGCACGGGTGCGCGAATCTTGCAGCAGCATTAGCAAAGTGACAAAGCACTGTCCGTGCACTTTTGCAGGGTGATGATGGGCGTGGGTCCGGAGCCTAACGTTCTGATTGTGGTCACATACAAACCCATATCGAAAGCAGAATGCGAAAATGGCTTTGAGCACCTGGTTTCTTTTTGCTGCCTGTGAGCAGGTGATCATCGACCTGAAGCGGTGGCTGGCACAGAGGGGAGCAAAGATCGGAGTGCTTGCAAAGATCGAGAGCGCTGAGAGCATCGACAACCTGGCGTCGATCCTGGATGCTGTGGATGGGGCGATGGTGGCCAGGGGTGACTTGGGGGCTGAGCTGGCCTTCGAGAGTGTTCCGTACTGGCAGTCCAACATCATCCAGGGCTGCAGGCGGAGGGGAAAGCCTGTCATTGTTGCGACGAACATGTGAGTGCGTCCTTCTGTGGGTGGAGGGGGCACCTTCCGTTCTATGTTGATTCCCATATTGATGTCATTTACCTTGCATTCTGAGCTGGTGTCCCCAGTTTCTGTTGCAAGGACAATTTGCACAGAATGTGGCAATCGCTGAGTTCTTTTAAGCAGTTGCAGAGGCTGATTGGCAGGTGCGAATCCAGAAAAATGCTCCCAAGATTACTAGTGCCACTATTCTACGTTCATGATGTTGTCTGTTAGCTATTTTGTTGCAGTGGTTGTGGCTTTGCTGCATGGCTAAGATATTAGCATCAATTTGGCATCAAAGACCCTGCTGACAGTTTGGATCCACAGCCACCTCTGTGTGAGATTTCAGTGTACAACATTGTTAATACTTCTCTGGCAAAATGTGATTTTGGTCAGCTGTGTCCTGAAACTACCTATTAAAATCTTGCCCTGGAACATGGTTGCAGAACCAGACAAAAAAGAAAAACATAGCCCAGCGAAGCGGCCAGTGCCATGTTGTGAGACAATGCAAAAGGCAACAGCCTTCAGCTGCGTGTTCCATCTGTGTGGCAGGCTGGAGTCCATGATCAAGCAGCCGACGCCCACCCGTGCTGAAGTCTCTGACATATCCATCGCTGTCCGCGAGGGCGCTGATGCGGTCATGCTTTCAGGCGAGACCGCCTATGGCAAGTTCCCCTTCAAGTCCGTCTCCATCATGGATGCCGTTTGCCGGCGGACGGAGAAGGCGATGAGATCCTACACAGGCTCCCGGCGCTTTGGCAGCACGGAGGCAGCACCGATCGACTGGGTCATCAGCAGCCACCGGCACGGCGTGAAAGAGATGACCACGCCCTACCTGTCTGAAATGTTTGCCTACCACGCCACCACTATGGCCAACACAGTGAAGACAACGCTCATTGTATTCACACGAAAGGGCAACATGCCTGCGCTGTTGAGCCACTACCGACCAGACTACCCCATCTTTGCCTTTTGCGAAGACGAAGCTGTGCAGAGGCGTCTGGCAGTGTACCATGGTGTGACATCCATCAGGATGCGCTTCGAGGCCACGGCGGACGCGTCATTCGAGAGGGCTCTGGAGGAGCTGCGGCTGCGCGGCCACGTGTCACCTGGGCAGCAGGTCGCCATTGTGCAGAGCGGCAGAAAGCCCATCTGGCGCACAGCTTCCACTCACACAATACAAGTACGGCGGGTGGAAGCTGCTCCAGGAGACATGGAGGAGGAGGAGGATGTGGTGGACCTTCAGAAGTACTTGACATCGAAATGACACAGGGCGAACTGTGGGATTGCCTCCTTTGGTGCTGGGATTCTGGGCTGCTTGCAGGACCGCGGACACGGCAAGACTCCCATCGACCAGCTGGCTTCGGTGGAATGTTGGTGTCCTCTCCTGGAGCCTCTAATGCGGCCAGTCCAAGGCCCGTCCGAGTGTCCTGTTTGTCCTGTTGGACGAGAAGGCTCCATAATTCTTTTCGGTGGGGTTGTTCGCACAGGGACCATTCCAAAAGCGTCGATGTTGTATCCCGGGGTTTGATTTGATCACATCCGGCGCTGCTCGACAGTATATATCGCCCAGGTTATTGCGGGCGACTTGATATCAGCGTTATTCATGGTTACAGTGCGTCGTTGGGGCACGTTCCCCAGATGTTTGAAAGGTGGCCTCCACTCGCCACACGATCTCGTTTATTATTGCCAGCTGGACTGTTTCTTGATTGAATTGGGTGTCAAGGCGATTATCGCTTTCTCTTCCAGTCTGCACTTGCTCGAAAACTTCGCACTCGGCAGACAGCAGCTTTGCAAACTTCGGTGGAGGCATCGGTTCTCCTGGCTTTGCCGAGGGGCGTGGAAGCAGTTGTGTGAAGTTGCTTGCTGCAGTGGCACAAGACATGGTACTCTTATTGGGCAGCAGGCCTTCTGCAAACTTCGGTGGAGGGTGCATCGGTCTCCTGGCTTTCAGCCGAGGGGCGTGGAAGCAGTTGTGTGAAGTTGCTTGCCGCAGTGGCACATATGGTACTCTTATTAAGCAGCACGCCTTCTGCAAACTTCGGTGGAGGCATCGGTTCTCCTGGCTTTGCCGAGGGGCGTGGAAGCAGTTGTGTGAAGTTGCTTGCTGCAGTGGCACAAGACATGGTACTCTTATTGGGCAGCAGGCCTTCTGCGCTATGCTGCGCTACGGCCACTGCCACAGGAATGAGGAATTGTGGGCTGCTTCAGGGAATGCGCTGATCAACGCCAGTTCAGGGAGCATGGGCACTGGATTCGCAGGGAGGGGCAGCACTTAATCGCTGGCCTGCAAGTGCTGGCCCGATGAGAAGGCGGGAGGGATGAACACTCTGCGTTCCTGTTGTTGAAAAGATAACGCCGGGACGCCGGGACGGTCTCCGACGTCGGTTGCCTTTCTTCTGCCCATTCAATTGCTACAGGAAGAAGCTTGCTTTGCATGCTTGGCAGCTGGACGTGAAGTCTACCTTGGCCCCTGCCACCGTTAACTTCCCCACGCAGCTTGAAACGGCACACTGGATCGTTCGGCGAAAGCAGCAACGTGGACTCACCGAAATGGGAGCAGCCTCCCCAGCACACACCACTCCATGTTGGCAAGACGCGAGCTTACAATTCAAGCTGCAAGATGACGAGAATGGCCAGGCGTACAACAAGATAATTGAATGTGCAGAATTATCGATTTCGCAAGTAGGAGCCCACAGTGTTCTGCCACTCATGAAGTGGTATCCCTGGAGAGGAGCAACTTGTGCTCCATGAATACGATTGCCCGGCCAACTAAATAAGCACCCGTCGTAGGGGCTGCGATCGGTGTGCGCCCCAAATCAACAATACAGCGTTAGTTAACACAAGAAGCTCACCGGCAGCAGCAATTGAAGCAGCTGCGATCAACTTGCATCCCAATCTACAATACAACAGTGATAGTTAATACCAACGACGCAAACTGAAACTGAGTTCAACTGCCAACACAGCAGACAAAGACCTCCCCATGTGTTCTGCGAAAAACTTGTTCCGATTTCGTGATTAGCAACCCTCACTGTTCAGGGTCAATTCTCTGCACACCGCTCGTGTCGTTCACTATGCTTGATCACCAATGTTGGCACGCGATTCGCCACATTCTTCCACATCACCGAGAAGGGAAAAACTCTAACTGCGCCTCCGCATGTGCCAATTATCAACCCACCCCTCCCTTCGGGGACAGTTGGGGTGGAACTCTGAAGCCTTTGCAAAAAGTCGCGTCCGTGGGCAAACGATGGCATGTGTTGGAACTGTGCCCCACTTTCAAGCTGGAACACTCCACGACGAAACATGCCTGCGCAAACGTGACAAGCAAACAACATGTCAATTCAGCGACGTGACTTCTTGCGAGCCGCCCGATGGCCAAGCAGCAAGGCGGCCCTTGACGCGAAGAACTGTGCTGCCGGAGGATCTGATTGGAATTCTGAATAACGATGCGCTGTGCAGGAGCCCCCTTCGCTCGTGGATGCCACAACGGCAGGCAACGAGAGACGTCACGGTGCACTCTGGTCCTGTTTCGGGGATCTCCGCGTCCAAATTTGGAAGCGGAGTTCACTCCACAAATTTGCTGCACCACACTCACGCTTGCATACTTGCGCATAAATATGTGTTGCTACAAAATCGCTCAACAAACCTGCGCATTTCGCGCACTTGCGCTTGGGTAAAAGCAGCCATGTTGCCATGTCGCACAGTGTCACTGGCAATTTTCTCCTCTTCGACCCCCCCACCCCACACCACCCCCTGCAGCCTCTCCAGCCAGACCCCGCAAAGATCGACAATGTCCTCAAAAATACGGTCGCTCTCTCCAGTCCAGCGCACCAGCCAGCTCACCTTGGAGCACACGCCACGCGGCCCTGAATAAAAACGCCTATCCCGCCTCGGCAGGTGCCACAGCCTCTGCCGCCTGCACTGCGGGCTCCTCGTCTTCGTTGTCCTTGTCGTCTTCCGTGACGCCAGTCTCGACCGGGGTGTCCTTGACGGGGGGGTCCGCGACAGGGGTGTCCTTGACGGGGGGATCCTCGACAGGGGTGTCGTTGACGGGAGGGTACTCGACGGGGGGGTCCTTGACAGGGGGGTCCTTGACGGGGGGGTCCTTGACAGGGGGGTCCTTGACGGGGGGGTCCTCGACAGGGGGGTCCTTGACGGGGGGATCCTCAACAGGGGGGTCCTCAACCGGTGGTTCTGGAGGCGGCTCAGGGCACACCAGCTTCTTCACGAGTTCGCATTTGAAGCCCTTCTTGGGGTTGCAGTGCGTGTCCCCGCATTTCTCCCAAGGTAGCCAGCCTGATGGAGGATGGCAATTTCAGAACTCAGAAAGCAGCCGACGTGCAGCGAAGGGGGATGACGACTTCAGGCATTCTCGCATGCGCAATGCCTCCATAGATCTGACGTACAGTGGCCTTCGGATGGCACTTACACTGTATACCCAACAAAGCCTTGACGTGATGCATGTTACCAAAAGTTTACGTTTCAAACAGGTGAACTCCCTGGCGAGAGGCCGATTTGTATGCGTGAAGTCCAACAACAGCCGCCACGAAGCATTAATCATGCACATGCCAAAATGCTGAGCCAGCACGGAGTTAAAAAGAATTTCCAGACGTAGCGGAAAGACACCTATTGTCGCCTAAAATGCGGTTCGTTTCTCACCCTTTTTCAGGCACACCTTCACGGCAACATCATCGCAGACCGTCTTCCACACTGAGGCCAACAGCAGCACACAAACGTTGGGTTGCAAACGCATTTCGCGCACATACAAATTTGAAACAGGGGCAATTTGCTACTCACTACTTCGGGGCCCCTGCTGCACTGTTCCAATTATGGAGCGATGAGCAGGGCTGATAGGTTGCTCCCACGAGATGCAACCTTAAAAGTTGCGCATCACATTTCCCAAAATCGTATTGAGAAGTCACGAGCCATGAGGCCATCGACGATATTGATGTGCGGCTGTGTCCTGATTGGCAAGAGATGTGATTCGTACAGGCCGATGCACATGCACAAGGGCAAGGTCCTTGATAACAGATTTTCCAGATTCTCCTTGGTTTGTTCTTATGCGGCTTGGCGCTTGAAGCACTCTGAAGTCATTCACTCTCTAAGCGCGTGTACGCACACACCATGGGCAGCGAATCCCGAGATGGTTGAAGCTCGAGGAAATCTGACCTAATCCCCACCACGCAGCGCTGCACCGACGAGTAGGTATGTGGGTTTGCATTCACAGCCTAGCCCCTGGAGTGCCTGCACCTACCTTTCACGTTCTTGCAGTCCTTGTACCACCCGCACTTATAACCCTGTTCGCACGCCTGTCCTCCGCATGTGGGAGCTGTGGCGACAAACAAAATCTTGAGAACATTCACTTGATAATATGCGCTCGAAAATATAGCGCTTGAGGGTGGACGGCGTCCGACATATCAGACGCCGTATATTGCCAAATTTTAAGGGGTATGCAATCAGGCTGCAAAATGCATGAAGAGCACAGGTCAAGAAGGTAAAACAGACTAGTCGAGGAGAGTGAGCCAAGATGACAATCAGAATTTGTGCACGGCAGAACAGCACATTATGGCATATTTTGAGAACGAAGGCAAACAAAGTTGGGGAAAAGCTTCAGGCCTCTTTCATAGGTTGGTAAGACAGCAACGTGCCATGTGCACAGTCCGCCTTCGCACTCAAAATTCTGTCAAGGTACAAGAAACTACGGGCGCCCATGGATCACAAGCAAATAGGCGGTTCCATAACACAATGCGACAACGCCGAACGCGTGAATTTTTCACATGAAATTTGGCTTGAGAATGCTTTATCGAACTGGGTCATTTACGCACTAACTTACTGTTGTTTCATGAATGGCTTGCGAGCTAGCTGTGCCACCACTGCCAGTTGACGACGAGACGGCACAGAGTGCCGCGTTGGCATTCAACACACCAGCTACCATCCCAAACAACAGGCAAGTCCAGCAATACTAAACATCAGTCACCCCGAAGGCCCAATTCAGTCCTCCACTGACCGAACGAATGCGAGATTTCACGCATCCATCTCTTACCTGGCTTAATCCAGGGCATGGTGGCGACGCACTTGGTGACCTCGTCATACACGCAACCCTTGCCCTTGTCACATGCTGGGTCGCAAGCATCTGCGGCTGCAGCAGACAGCAAACCTTCCGTCAGCCTCACAAACGCTCCCCAATCTCGACTTCTTCCAACGCGCAGAGATGTCCCACAGCGCTAACACCCTCAGGGCGTCATTGCCATGCACACAGATGCAAGTCAGGAGATGGATACAAGGCCAATGTACTGCGTGATCAGCGACTTGAAATCGAAAGTTACCACAGGTTGGTGGCGAGAGATCTGATGGTACTGCATCAGAACCTGGACGCACATTAATGCTCAAGCAAACGGCTTGGGTAGCATGCCGTACCTTCATAGTCATCCTTCCTTTTGAGCTCCACGCACCCTGCCACTTTCTCTTTGGTGCACACCATGACAGGCTCTGTACACACCACGTGCGCGCGGCTTCATGAGTGAACGAAAGTGATTTCATAAAGTTTCTTTAAGTTTCCCGACGTTCCAGTCAAGTCCTCCGACAAACCCCTCCAGAAACATAGGCATTGAAGTAGAGCACTTCCAGCACATGCGTCACCAATTGATCCTATATCATTTTTTTGATGGTGCTGATCTTTCATGGAAAACCAAATCGACACGGGATCCTCAGTACCTACCTTTCTTCTTGCATTCGGGCACGACGTGGCAGACTTCCTTGTATTTTCTGTGATGGTACAGATACATGTGATAGTATGTGCCTGCACACATACGCAAAACCATCAGTGGCGCAGACGTCGGGATGCGCATTGCGAGACAGAAAATGGTGCAATTTCAGCCAGTTCTTTTCAGGAACTGAATGTCGATGCGTGAATTACCACAACAAAAAATTGTGGAACACTGACTGTAATCAACGCTACATAATATGCTTCAGACAATCGAACAAGGAGTGTTATCTATTCCAATTCAAAGCACCAAATCATCATAAACCTTTTTGAATCTGTTATCGAGTGAATGGAGCCGACAAGCGCAAGTGTTTATGCTTGGCAATACATTCAATTGTGGCATCGTACGCCACAGCACTTCTCAGAGCAAATCGCATTTTCAAATAATGTTATAATTCTGGCAGTGAACGCATTTTCAAATAATGTTACAATTCTGGCAGTGAACTACGATTGTCATGGAATGCGCAGTGGTAGTGAGTAACGCCCTTTTCGAGAAGCTGATAATATGTCATGTAAATCGAAATTCGAGGCTAGAGCCTGGCAAGCGAATCACCCTGCCGAATTATGCTAAGGTACCTGAAAAGCAAAAGGATATGATACAGGATATGTGTGCATGAACATGGTGCTGACCAGCCACATTTAGGAGACGAGCCTGCCATATCCAGGAAATGCTTTATTCAAGCAAGAACTTCCCACTTACAGGATAGAAGAAAGGTGCGTAATTCTCTACTGATGTTGCTTGATTTGTACCTTCAGTTGTAGACAACAGATGGCCTCAAAGTTGCAACTTACGAGCTCCACTGAAATGGCCACTTTGCATGCCTTGCCACATCACCTTATGTCATGGGATATTGGCAGATACGAATCTTCAATCGAGTCCAATACACGCAGCCTACAAATTTATCTATCTGTGGACAATTTGATTCAAACTTCCTCCCAATATCGTTCCAGTGTTGATGACCCTTGCGCTTTGCATTGGACATGCGATCGCGGACAACGAGGAGTCCCAATAGAAGGTCGCATAGGGCTTTACATCATTCCATGTGTCTTTAACAGCACATAAAAGAATTCGATGGTCTTGATTGCTGCAGGAAATTCAAGACTTCAATTACCTATCTTGACTGGAACCTTCTTGCAGACAACCTTCTCCAGGACGCAGTCCTCGTCATACTTGCAGTAGAGGCCGCCGTTTCCACACTTAGTTTTGACTAGAAAAACATAACGAAACTGAAATTAATCCACTGAGCTTCCACGCAATACACAAGTTCAGCCAACAAGTTGGATATTTGGCGTTGGTTGCATTCGTTTTCACTTCAGTTTTAAGCGGGTCCATCGGGCCACGTGCATCACACACTATCGCGACCAGGACGCTATTCATGCGGAAATTCTATGGATATAAGCAGCGACACCAGCGGCTTCACTGCAGGCAAAGCCCATCAATGACGGCTAGGGTGCTTGTGCACGGACGACGCAGTGCCTGTGAGTCACATGCCTCGGTGTCTAGACTCACTTTCTACGCAGTGCTCGATGTCCTTGCAGTCTTTCTCGGTGGCCCACGCTGCACGGCACAAGGGAGGCAAGGTGAGCGCAGTTTCCCGCCAACAAATGGAAAGTATGTCCAGCGGAAGCGGGCCGATAGTTGTGGCAATTTCGCAATGACTGCGCTGGCCACGACCTTCCAGTTCACGTCCTGTGGTAAGCTCAGTGGAGAAATGCTTCGCCAGATGAGTAGCAAGGAAAATCAGAACATTGCTTCCTTACCAATATGCTCAGAATGTGTCTGCTGTATACATCGATTCAAACTGCAGAGTACAGATTCTATGGTAAGGCATTTTCCAAAGCAGCGTGTGACTCACCATCTTTGCAGACTTTCTTGTGCGTAGTTCCGCACCAATTTGGGTACTTGCACCAGCCTTTGCCGCACCAGACTGCACAGCGACACCAAAACAGGTGGTCAGGTCGCCTGCATGAAGCTGCCAAGCCAAGGCGTCCCAGGCATCCCTTCAACGAGCTCGCCGGCTACGTAGCATGACGCTGACATGAATGCTGAAAAATCAGAGGTTAATGCATATCTGCAAAGAAAATTGCTTTCCTCAGGCTTAGAAAATGGATGTTCGCTGCGATCCAATGCCTGCGGTTCATACCTGGATCCTGCTCAACGCACTCTGGCACTTTCTTCCACCAGCAATCTTTCAAAGGAAAGCACATAATCGTCAAATACTGGACCACCTCAAGCGATACTTCTGCAAAACGTAAGCATTTCGAATGTATCAAAATATTGGGAAATTCTAAATAACATTATTTAGCACAAGAAAACAAAAGCTCAGTACAAAGCGGTTTGCTTTTGCAATACTACATGCAGGTATCGCATAGATTTCGCTATCAAATCATGTGCGACAACGGAGAGCCAGCAGGCGTTCACGATCTCGTGAGATCCATATAGTCGGAAAACAGAACGACCCTCCAGTGTGTCGTCTGCAGTCTCATACATACATGTAAATCACATGCACCATGGAAAATGGTCGTCACGCTG